TATCGTCAACAAAATTCTTCCCACTGAGAACTTGCGAAGGATCTTGCAGCCTTCAGCCTTGAACTCGCAGCAGAGCTAATTGTGAAGCTGGCATGAGTATTTGCAAGATGACCTGTGGGGGTAGGGACGACACGTCAAGCCCAGTGAAAATCGACAAGAATGAGGTAGATAGGTAGCAATAGACGTCTAAGTACAGATTGAGATAGATAGAAATCTAAGAAATTCGAGATGAGAAATTTGCAAAATGAGAAATTAAAATGCAAAGTGTAGTGCCTCCGAAGTCCGGTTCGGTCAGGTTCATGGCCCTATGTCTGCGAACCCTGAACTTGACCATTGGTCAGGTTCAGGCATGGTGGCCGAACCTTGGACCAGACGCCTTCGAACGCGTTCGGAAGGGTTCAGTTCAGGTTCAGAACACGTTCGAACTCTCGAACCGTTGTTTAAATTGCAAAAAAAATTAAAATTGACAAAAAATGAGAACAAAACCTGCTAGTACGAATAACTACTAAAACTCTTCCTCGATGACAACGCAGTTATCGTAAGGAGCAGCAAACTCAGCCTGGGATGTTGCAGAAATGTGGCCTTGACGGTATGCGCTCTTAAGCAACTGGAGAGCCTCGAATGACGTGCGGAGGACATGGTGGCAGCAGTAGCGGTAGCAGGGAGTGAAAATGGCCAACTTATACAACAAGTAAGTATATTGTAACTAAATTCAAAATGATTGCGCACCATAAAGCCCTGATACACGAACATTCCGCACCAGAAAACGCCGGAGTGTGAACAAATGCCAGAACAGCAGTGTGGTGAATCAAAAGTGCGGACAGTATGTCCTGAAATAAATGGCATTAGAAGTTAGCAACGACAAACAGTGAACGTGTTGTGAACGTACCGGCACCTTGATAAGTCGCATTGCTGAAGAGACCAAGAGAAGAACACGGATGAGGGCAATGTAGTTACTGCAAGTAGGCTAGAAGGGGGGGAAGACAGTAAAGCGACGGGCAAGCACAATGCTTAAACAGAAAACCTTACCAAAAACATGAGGCTTCGTTGCCGGTTTGAGAATCTAAGTTGGATAAAAATACATCAGGTTCAAACCGGTCCGGACGCGTCTGGACCGGTTCACGTGCTCCAGGAAAATACCGGACCTCGGACCTATTAGGGGGTTCGGTCCAGCAGAAATACCGGACCTGTGACTGAACCAATGGTCCAGTCCGCAAAGGTTCGAGTTCGAACCTAGGTTCGGGACCGGACTTCGGAGGCACTAGCAAAGTGCAAAGTTCTCAAACATGCGTTTCATTTTGCAACATATGCTATGCAAATTACAATCAAATTTTGCATATTTGGAAACTTTGATTGCAATTCGTGCATGCTTAGATCAGATTGCATCGACATTCGAAATCGCTAAGTCCGAATCTGCTTAGTATGGACTCCATCCAGGCTGGCGCACACAGATTAGACGACGGCACCACTATCTATGTCTGCGACTGTGATGCCTGTCTTCGTAAGACAGGAGGACGGAATACACAGGTATCGCGAGCTACTTACTTTAGACACAAGCCCATCAGACTCGCCGCATCAATTCTTCTTCCTCCGATCGCTCTTAGCATTGCGCCAGATCTCCCATCACCAGATCTTCGACACACCCCTCCACCAGCTGCATCCTCGTCCAGCAAGAGGCCACAGGAAGATCTCGATGGTGGGGGACCTAGAAATCAGAAAAAGGGACGTTCTGACAGCCCAGAACTAGTGCATACATCTGAGGTAAGTCCGATTGTTTTATTCCAGAGGCTCACTCACATATTTCTAAACAGCCTGACACCCACCCTGATGACGCTCATGAAGGTACGAGTCCTTCTACTCGATCATGATCGAGAATTAAATATTATCTAGATTTTTATCAGTATGATGGCCTCGAGTATGACACCATACCTGAGGTGCTTCCTGACGAGGAGCTTCCTGACGATCGGCTTCCTGATGAGGCCCTTCTAGAAGAGGATCAAAATTCTGACCAACCTCGCGGTTCTCAAGGTGCCGCACAGCCAGACCAACAACCTCCGGTGGCACCTATTGATCATATCGATGATCTCGATCAAAACGGAGAAGAGGGGAACGGATCAGAGGGGAATGGGGCAGAAACACGAACGATGGGCTGGACTGATGAAGACTTAGACAGACTTCACTGCATGGCGCGTCTTCAGGATGCTCAAGACGCCATGGCTTTTATCACTGCCCTTCGAAAAGCTTCTCTGGACGACCCTTTTGCCCGTCTACCTCCTGATGCGCTCGATCGACTTCGAAACCCACCACGTGCACTCCCCGACGTCACAGATCCCGATCTCTTAATGTCCCTTAAGCTTTTTTTTGCTGACACGACGATCAAGGCGTACGACCTCATTCGCGCAGCCATTTCCGAACGACACCCCGATGACGACGTGTACAGCCACTACCGTGTCAAGCAGCTCTGCACTGAACTCAGTGGGGTTGTACCCCTTGTGCACGATATGTGTATCAACACGTGCTTGGCCTTTACAGGCCCCTTCGTTGATCTTGATCAATGCCCAAGGTGCAGGGAAGATCGTTGGGATCAGAAGAGAAGCACCCCGCAAAAGAAGGTTGCTCGACAGAAATTCGACACATATCCTATTGGTCCCCAATTACAGGCTCTATGGCGGCATCCTGATCACGCCGAAAAGATGTGCTGGCGTGAGCAGCGCACACAGGAAATTTTGGAGGCGTTAGGCATGACAGATGGGATTCCCGACGTCTATGAAGATGTCCTTCATGGGAAGCAGTATCTAGACGCCTGCCAATTGGGGAAAATTAAAGAAGGTGATCCCGTACTCATGTTCTCGATCGATGAGGCCCAGCTGTATGAATCCAAGCAGTCGGACTGCTGGATCTATATCTGGGTCCTGTTTGATCACTCCCCGGATAAACGCTATAAAAAGAAGTACGTCCTCCCTGGCGGCATAATTCCTGGCCCCAAAAAACCTAAAAACCTTGACTCGTTCATATTCCCCGGACTCCATCACTTATGCGCGATCCAGGCCGAGGGTCTTCCAATCTGGGATGGCGCACTTCACAGATTATTCACCTCCAATCCTTTCCTTTTTGTCGCAACTGCAGATGGGCCTGGAATGGCATTTCTCACCGGTCTCGTCGGACATCACGGCAAAATGAGCTGCAGGCTCTACTGTGGGCTTCCTGGTCGACATAAACTAGGTGCCCCCACTTACTATCCTGTACTTCGCCAGCCGATCGGTAACCACGATCACCCCGATATTCTCATCCATCAATTACCCCCCGCCGGATCATTCGATTACGAGGCAAATCTCCGTCGCATTGTCTCCTGCAGAAACGCTGCAGAATATGAATTCGCGCGCCTGGAAACAGGCATCACAAAGCCTAGCATCTTCTGCGGATTTCATTCTGATCGCATTCTCCCAGTGCCGCACTCATTCGGTTCAGACATTATGCATGTAGCTGCCATCAACGCTGGAGATCTACTGATACCACTCTGGAGAGGGACATTTAGAGCCGACCCAACGGATGATAAAGCCACATGGCGCTGGGCTGTACTCATTAAGGAAACTTGGAGGAAGCATGGATCGAGTATTGCTGATGCGACACCATACTTGCCCGGATCATTTGATCGCCCCCCTCGAAATCCCGCTGAAAAAATTCATAGCAGTTACAAGGCCTGGGAGTGGCTTCTGTATCTCTATGGAATGGGGCCAGCGACACTCTATGGAATCCTTCCAGAACCCTACTGGTCCAATTTTTGTCACCTTGCTCGAGGTTTGCGCCTCATGCAACAATATCATATTTCCCGTTCCGAACTTCTTGATGGCCATCAGCACCTTCTGGACTTTGCCGACGAATTCGAAGAAATCTATTACCAGCGCCGCAACGATCGGCTTCATTTCATTCGCCCATGGATTCATTCCCTCACTCATATCGGCCCTGAGACAGTCAACAAAGGCCCTCCCATCTGTTCTTCTCAATGGACTATGGAGAGGACAATCGGTAATCTCGGCCAAGAAATCCGCCTGCATAACTCGTCTGCCTACGCCAACCTTTCTCAACGTGCCATCCGACGCTGCCAGATCAATGCCCTCAAGGCCATCATTCCCACGATCGAACCATCAACAAACGCACTTCCTAAAGGATCCTTCGATCTCGGCGAAGGCTATATTTTACTCCGTCGACGAGAAAGAACTGCACACATGGTCCGGCCTTGCGAAGCTCAAGCTATAGTTAGATTCCTGGCCAATGACAGTGGCATCGAGATTCCTTCTGCACCTCCAATTACCAAGTGGGCACGTCTTCGCCTTCCCAATGGCCAGGTTGCAAGGTCGGCTTGGAAGGAAAACACCATGACAAAACAGCCAAGGATGGCACGCAATGTTAAGGTATGTTTATTGCATCTACATAGTTCAGCAAACTTATTTTTTACAGTTACACCTCGACGGACAGACAGCAATCGGCGAAGTACATTACTACTTCAACATGACTATACATGATCGTCGCAGGACCTTCGCCATGGTCTCGGTATACAGCGATCCACATCAAGATCTTCTTCATTGTTCCTTTCACACCGTATTCGCATGTCACCACCGCGGGGACAATTCATTGCGACTGATCGAAGTTTGTGCCATTCAATCCGTTGTGGCTATGGTCCCACATCAGTTTCCGGGTATCAACGGTATACTTTTCTATCTTATAGAGCGACCGGGTTTGGATATCATCACGATGAGTGGTATCAATGAGGAGGACATACCTGACGAGGATTAAGGTGAGTATTCTACTAGTATTTGACAGCATTAACTGACTACATCCCAAGACTAGAAGCTGACAAGGGAAGCTGATCGCATCATTGATCGCATTGATCGCATTGATCGCATCATTTTGAACATCGTTTGTATAACTTTCACGCATTTTTGAGTCGCTCATCTGTACAATGCATTCTAGTATATGAAAATACAATTCATTACTCTATTCTAATGAAGGTCCTTTAAGTCTTGTTTGATTTGACGCACTGTAAGAAAGCTGTTGTCGGCATGCGCACGATCATACCATTTGGCGTCTTCTTCTCGTGAAACATACTTCCAATAACAGGAATCTGGACCAGGGGGACTTGGAGTGTCGAAGAAGCTTTTCTTCTTGATCGGGGTCTTGATCGGTAAGTCTTCGACATCACTCTCCGGCTCGGTGACACTGCTGGGATCGTTTTTGGGAAGACTCTTGATCGAGGGCTGGGGTAAGGGCTGGGGTAAGTCTTCGACATCACTCTCCGGCTCGGTGACACTGCTTGGCTCGTTTTTAGGAAGATTCTTGATCGAGGGCTGGGGTAATTCTTCGATGTCACTCTCAGGCTCAGTGACACTGCTTGGCTCGTATTTTGGTGGGGGAGGGATTGGTGTTGTTTTCGCCAAAACAGATGGCACTTCTGGCTCGCTTTCTGACTCCATGACAGACTCCGTGGTGGATGTAGCTACACTGAAATTAATGAAGTCAAATGCACAAACTTACATTAAAAAACTTAAAACTCACTGTGTCACTGGTGGTAAGTCCATAAATGATACCAGACATGCCCGAATCCTGAGAGCATGAGAAGAAGGCCAGCATGCAGGATTGGCAACCAAGTCGTCTGACAAAGTCATAACAGGTGTGCTCGAGCGGGTGTCATTGGAATCAAGACTTAATATAATCGTTCGGTCAGATCCAGATCCCGAAGCAAAGAAGATCCGAAGCAGAGAACTTGATACTCACCTGGTATCAGCCTGGTAACCGTTATCAAGGTCATCAAGATCTGGATCCAATGATAGATCCAGAAAGTCCTGGACGGCTGATGGCAATGGCATAATGTGTTTGGACGATATACTATGGACTCGGTGAGTTGCCTTTCTTGACTCGAATTCAACCAAACACATACCTATACCATCATGTCCATCAACGACATTTCGGACATGACAGCGATAACCCCCGCCGGATATGCAGAGTTGATCAAAACTCATCTTCCCCCACTATCATTTCCCCCGTCTTGTGATCCGAGCGGTTCCCATCAATACTATTTCATACATGGCGACGCCCCCGATCCAAATCATAATGTGAGTTCTTGTCTGATCATGATCGGAGACATGAAACACTTACTTGATATCAGTCTCTTCTATCACAAAGTTCCAGCCTGCGATCTCTGCTCGATGATCAAGACCCCGCCGTGCCTGCTGATAGTGACAATCTAGTTGTCGAACTCAAATGCCAACTTATGGAACTACAACATACAGTAGCGAGTCTCCGAGCAGATTTACTTAGGGTTACGAGTGAGAAAACATCATTACTCTCAACCTGCCAAGCATTACAGTAAGTGCCATATCATTTTCATGCGCATATATTCACTCAAATGCGCATATATGCGTGTACAGGAACATTATTGTGAATATACGAAGCTCTGCAAGCTCTGTCGCATCGAGCTCATCAGCCTCACCCCCTTCCGACACATCAAATACCACAGACGAACGCAAGCCATCTTGCCTACTGGACAGAATGATTGAAGAGGAGTGCGATCGCGAACTTGATCCGGCAGACTATCGATCGGTGAACTCCTGGACGAAAAAGGATTGGCAGGAACACTTCCCAACGAGCTCGTCCGCTGTACCTGGATCTTCTTCGAAGAAATCAGCACGTGGTTCCAAGCGTATGGCGCAAGGTATCAATGTATCTTGTACTTACCTCCAGGACGAGAATGGCATACCTGTGTCAGCTCAGCGCGCAAAGGTAATTCGGACAACAATGTTGTCATGCTTCCGGCAGCTACATACCCAAGGACTTGCACCAGAATCGATCGGGCAAGCTTCACTCGACGTCATCAAGTGGCTGGTTCACATGTTGCGGAAGGAATACCTGGAGCTTCGTTTGTGCGCCGACAACTGGAAAACCACGAGGCTCATGATCGATAACTATTCCCAATGGTACAACTACCACATCAAGAAAAAGGGTGGCAAGCGTGTGAAGGCCGAGTCTGAAGACATGGGCCTAGAGGAAGAGACTGCCTCCGAAACGATCCCGATCATTAAAAAAAGAAGATTGTCTGACTCTGACGAGAACCACACCGCAAAGCGCCCACACGTAGATTCGTCATCAGAGGATATAGTAAGTTTTCATCTTCTTTGCTTGTCGCTACTGACATGATCGGTCTATAGCTAGCATCACCCCCTTCAATATCAACCGAAGAAGTAAGTTTTAATATTATTGTTTTATACTACTGACATAGTTGGTGTACAGTTAGTGTCACCCCCTTCGCCATCACACGATGGCACTACACCCAACCGTGAGCCAACCCCTCCACCACGAATGGACAAAGGCAAAGAGAAGGAAGTTGTTGCTGTCGAGGTGAGTCTCTCATTGTAGTACATGTTGTACCTGGCACTAATTTCACGTGTCTGATCTTACAGGTCAAAAACCCTCTGTAAGTCATCAATTCTATTGATGCGCTACACTGATGCGATCAATTCATTTAGCTCTAATCTTGTCCTCAAACCTCGACCCACACCCGTTTCACAGAAACCCCCTTCACCTTCTATTGTTTCCTCAAGTTCAGGATCCAACCCTGCTGTAGTGCCGCCCTCCACCAACATCACGCCAATCTCCAGGCCAGAGATCTCATCGAGTTCCGATTCAGCTTCCCTTGCTGTAAAAATGGAACTCGTTGGAGTGACCCACGCCGAACAAACGAAACCCACGATCAACTCAAAGCCTGATGCCATCAAGAAGCGACAGCCAAGTACCAAGCCGATGCGTGTGAGCCCCAAGATCACGGCGCGGTGCGTTCTATATATTATTTTCATAGCTAGATTAACTCTATCATTCTAGGAATCTTTGCGCCCTCGAGTGGCAATCAAACGGCAATCAAAAGGAACCAGCGAGCGTCTTTGCGACTTACTGGAATGGGTTGTCTACTGCCGACAAAGAGATGCGTCATTTTTTTCTTATATTAACATCTATTTAATTCTGTCTACAATTGTTCTAGTTATACAAGCGCAAAGTATCTGTTCAGGTGAGTTCTGTTGCCTGCATTCTATCACATGTACTGACCAAGTGTCCTATAGGTGGCTTCCTCAGGACTGGTTCAAGTGGACGACAACCACGATGACTAGAGGGCATATGGCGGGATGGCGGGATGGCGGGATGGCGGGCGGGATAGCGGACGAGGCGCAGCGAGCAGCGATACCCTACTCACCTAATGATAGCGATACCTATAGATAATGTCATTTGCTCTCGTTAGATTTGTTTTTGGATCAAATCGAGTGATATTTCGTATGTAAATGTGTATTGGTAGGTTTAAACAGATCGAGAATCGTATCTAAACGTCTAAATTTTTTCTCGATGTCTTTCTTTTTCCATCTCGAAAAGTCTCATTTGTCTAAATACATCGATAGATTTCATGGGCCTTTATTTTTTTAGATATCTATCTACGTATATCTACCTCATTCTTGTCGATTTTCACTGGGCGTCAAGGACACAACTTTGCAAGGTATTGGGAGCGCGCAAATTAGTAGGGACAAACAAACGCCAAACACTGACAGCACTTCGCACTGAATCACGTGACCATCATTTTGTCTCTAGCATTATCTCCTCCTTCTCTTTCCGGCCTCTATATCGCGACTGCTGCCTCTCTCATCTTCTTCGAAATCTCTCTCACTTTCCCGTCAGTGCATAGCAGAGTTCAGTTTAATTAGCTGGGCACGGTTATATCCCCCAAAGTGTCATTTTACACCTTTGAAAACCCTGCTTCCATGTTCTCGCTCACCCAACATGTGCAATCGGATGAAGATGCCGGAAACGGAGCGACGAGAGTATTCATTTGCTCATCCTGTACGAAAGCTGGCACTAGGCACTGGACTGGCCATTGAAAAGCTTGATGTGAGACGGTGACGAATCAACTATTCTAGAGGTAAGTATAGACTATTTGTGTGAGTGATGAATCTCTCTCGTAACTGACTTCCACAGACATCAGAACTCAATCGACTCAGAGAAGATGCCCGCCGGAGATATGTTTTAGATACGGCGCAGGGCGGAAGGTATGTGATCGTCATGCATTTTTTGGGGTGTATATTCGCGTGGTGTATTACAGCTCTGCATTCCTGTCGAGTTTATTTCCGGTAGATCATCGTGATGCTTGAATATTTAATTGCCCTGTTATCAGTCCGATTCAGTTGTCATGGCCTTCAGTGATCGATCGATTAGCACGGGATTATGCAAGCCTGAGATGCAGCTTTGTCACGCCTGATGCAAACAGCGCGTCGAAATATTGTCCGTCCAATTCACACCGAGTCGTGCCCACCATTTTCGTGATGGGTGATGTGATGTCAGATTCTGTGAGTCCTTTGAACTCATAATTTGCCTTGGATCAATGACTCTCCCTTCGTTCATCGCAGTCATCTGAATGCACAAACTCCATGGAATAAATATTGTTATATTACAAAAATTGACTCTGGTGGGGGACGGACCCATATAGATCGATCAGTAATTGAATATCATGGAGGGAGTTTCAGTAGCTGCAACTTCCAATATACGACTAGCCGCGTGCACGATCGAAAACAAAGTTGATGTGCATATGATACTTGTGAGTTGTTGCTCATTTGAAACTCGCGGAGGAAAAGGAATTGAACAATAGTCCAAGATGATGTGATTGAAAGACTAGATGTGTTCGATACATTCTGCCTATGCAAGGTAGGGAGGCGAGTCATAAAGGGAAAATAGTTATCGTACGGAATCGAATAGTAGGTGCAATACTGGCAAGTTAAACGTTAATGGCTCGACCGTAAATATACCAATCCAAGCGTAAACTTTCAAGTTGACATTGTAGGATATATGATACTGCTACATAGCGGTTTGCCTTCAAGACTCCAAAGACCCATTGTCCGTCTGCAAAGCGTTTGGGTTATCGATCATACGACGCAAATCGTAATACAAGCCCTGCACAGAGGATATGGCAGCATCAAACAGAACCTGATCTAGATCCCAAAGCACAAGCAAATCTTTCCTCCTTTGCATTGATTCCAAAGCCCAATACATACCTATAGTGAATTCTGTTAACTCTTCATTAGGAACGCTAGAATCCCAGCTTCGTAAAATATGCCTCGTCGCCACCACGAGGACTGGTAGTGCGCTGATGTCGACATCTGCGTAAATTCTGAACCATGCTTCTTCCCATCCTTTCCTGATGAATGCCTGCCACCTCTTCTGGGTAGGGCCGGGAGGAAGAACCTTGTCTGAGGAATTGATATATGTAAAAATTCCAGCAAGGTAACATCCGGAAAGCCAAGTCTGGGAGTGCTCGGCTAGAACAATGCAATGCTCGAAATGACCATCACGGGTCAGACGTTCGCGCCACTCATCACTCTGTGTAAGAGCAAAGATGAGACGAAAGTAGCAAGCATCTCGACCCCAGTTAAAAGAGGCGTGGGGTCCACTGCATGGGAGTGTCTGGTCCTGCGAGTGATTTGGACATGCGACAGTCAAAATAGCACACGAGAGCTTGTCCAAGAGTGTTGCATCCACACCCTGTGGTATTGACTCATTTGTCATAGATGCCAATTCGTCTCGAGCATCTGCAATGGCTCGTAGTGCAGCATGTCGAACACGGGGAGATCTGGAGGGGTCCATGCAATGGATGAGCGCCGTGATGTAGGAATGACGCTTGGTAGAGCTTCTTAGATTGGGCATGGCACTCAGCGCAAGCAGAGCATCGCCTACAGTTTCGTCATCTGCTGCGATATTTGCTTCTTCCACTAAGTAGTCGACGAGCCAGTCAAACTCTTCGCAGCTGAGTATGAGCCCATCACTGCAACGCCACCGGAAATCACCATCCCAAATTAATCCTTCATCGTTTGGAAGCCTAAAGAAATGGGAATCCCCGTGGACAACCAGTGTTCTCAGAGACGTGCGTGCATCAGCCTTGTGCTTATGCTTCTGTCGAGCTTCCGCTTTCTGTGTATTCTTGAGGTGATTGCAGGCGTTACGGCTGTCCATGAACGCATCATGAATGAAACGGCTCTTGCCTCCCCAACAATTACGGATAGATATGGGTTTGTAACCAAAGCCTAGAGGTATCTCCAGCGACTGGCTGTAAAGATGGGCTATGGCCTTGCCACACTTCACCAATACCTCTTCCATTTCATAGCATGCTACAAAGTTATCCTTTAAGCGTGCACAGATCGCGGAAATATCAAGATTCTGCGGCCATTGCACGAGAGGTACCATTGCAGCCGCAGCTTCGACGACTTCTGGATGAGTGGACGTCTCTAGTATCCACCGGATGGCGGACGATTTAATGGACGCACTATCAGGAGTGGAAGTCAATCTGTCCGGGAGGAATTTTCTGCAGATGGCTCCCATTAGTTCAGCTCCTGGTGTCCGGAAAGGACTGTCCGGGCGCAAAATTGTCACGAGGAGAGCGCTTGCGTAAAACAGCATGCCGAATGCGGTGGAGCAGATGACGACGCTGGATATCGTGGTTTGCTGGGTCCACATGTTGGCGCTGAGCGATAAGCCGAATAAGAGTAGTGAGATCTGGAGGAGCACGAGGAACCCCTGCAAGACGGTCTGGAGCTGAAAATACTCCAGCCCATTCATTTTCCTCTGCCTCTGTATGCAGCGTTCCTCGAGCGACCCTCGTCCGCGAGCTGTTTTGTAAGCGTTGAGCCATTGCTTTCCCAACACAGCCCCAAACGCAGCCAAGACGCTGAACGAGAGGCTAGCATACGCAAGCGTTTGCATCCAGATAGTCGAAGAAGGATATGGCGTGGAAGAGGAAAGACCGCTGATGTCATTTGTAGTGTTTGTGCCGTTAGCTGTCATTTGGATAAGGTGAAACAAGAGGACGTTGGTAGTTTCTGCCGGGTTGGGTTGCATTCCGATGATAAAAGTGGAGTTGACAGCTGAGAATAAACCAGCCTGGTTCGCCTGTTAGATTTGTATTGATAGATATGAACACACGCACAAAAGTCAAGATGATGCCCATATCGCCATTCGCGCGCTCTAAAAAGTCATTATCGTACCCCGTCGAAACCTCGTCGTACGTCGCCCAAAACTTCGATTCAACGTCTTTGTTGTTACGTTCTTCAGCTATAGGAAGCCCTTGTCGTTCGTTGGGGATCTGTTCATCAATGTTTGACCTGTCGTCCAGCATAATCAGACCTCAAGTATTTCGCATTGATTGATCGCTTGAAACTTACACATTCTTAATAGGGCTTCTCACGCTGGCCTCTGCAAGCTTCTCGCTCGTTGGAGGGGGCTTTCCAGTGATTTCATTGCTGTAAATCCAAAGTGATACGCTCGGCCCAATCTAGCTTGTCACTTACTCGTTTCTGAGGCCTGGAGTGTCAGTGTCGACAGGTGCGGGACAGCGTCGTGATGACGTGCCTTGCATGTTTTCGTCTGCGGTGATCATCGAAATGTTGAGGGCGTTGAATGAGAGAGGTGGTTGGTTGGTAAAAACGAGGCTCGAAGTGCTGTGCTGGCGTCAAAGTAGTTACACATCACAGAAGCGCACAAGCGGCCATAAGATGATAATAAGGAGAGCATACTGAAAGTGAATGATTGTAAAAGGTTTGGTCACGGTGCAAGAATATAAGAGTTCACGTAGCGAAACCAGGCCCCTGATCGCTGTAGTATTTGCAATTAATTTCATATCCAATTTTGTCTTGTTCCTTTGTACAGTCCAATTTGCTACTACCTTGCATTGACATGCTTTATATCGTTGCCTACCGTATAAGAACAATGCTTGAGTACTAGTGTGAGTTATGATAATCCCATACAGATACATCAGTGAATCAGTGAACAAATGAGAATGGTATCTAAAGCAATATAATGTAAAGCATCGCAACAATCTTCGTAAATCTGCTGACTGCTTTCACATGGGAATATTTGGCATTGTCGAGGAAACACGAATTTGCAAGTACACTAGCCCAGTAGTACTACTTGCTTCGCGAGCCTTTGCACTTAGATGGATCGACCAAAAATTGAATGCGCACAGGTTTACGAAGTTAAATATAGACCGAGACTGAGAGGGTCAAGGAGGGAGGTTTCGATGTGCTAAAATGAACGACACTTTGGTGAAGTTTCCCGTGGTACAGATGGATATCATTTGGTCTTCACACGACACATTTTTACTAGCTTAGGATGACTATGACATGAATGCAACTTGCTCGAGCGTAAAAAGTACGAGTACGTGTTGCAAGAAGACCATAACAACAGAGTCATGCATACTGCATGTTTATTGATCGGACCGTCAATCAAAGGCATTCTGATCAGCCTTGGCTGATGTAAATAATATTGTGCTAGACTGAGAACACTATAAGAAAAAATTGGACGCGCAAAAAAAGACAAAGTGTTCTCCGATCAACAACGATACATCGTTTACCTGCGAAGATAACGCTCGAGCCAGGTGAACCACAAGTGCCCTGGTGAAAACAACGTTCAAGATATCGAATCGTTGTCTGCTAGACATCGATCGGGGATCCGTGCGGAAAAGCGTCGCCTTTACGAAGCAGCAGATGCGTTCAATACGTGAGCGAGGTGAAAGCAACGTTTAAGATTTCGAATCATTGTCTGCTAGACATCAATTGGGGATCCGTGCGAAAAAGCGTTGCCTTTACGGAGCAGCAGATGCGTTCAACACGTGAGCGACAAATCAACTTTTGTCCCGCTGTGACTTTTGACGACATTTGTTTGGAATGCTTAATATTTATCGTCAAAACCCTGGTGTAGCACTGTAAGCACACCCAAGTAAATGTCAAACCGCTGTAAGTATACGTGATGGTAGTGTTAACTTGTAATCTCACACAATCATTGCTATCTTCAGAATTTAAATTCTTTTAGCCCCTTAGCCCGAAATTTCGGCACTGTGGCTTTGTTGCCGCGATATAGACTAGGCCATCATCATGGATCGTGCATCGACACAATCGCATGACGTTGTGCACTACAGAAGAGTTTTTAACAAGGATATTTTGAAGTTATTTGCTTACTATTTCACAGAGGTAATAATATGAGTCGAGTTCCCATGCATTGACGCAATCGCATGACGTTGTGCACTACAGAAGAGTTCTTAACGAAGATATTTGGAAGGTTATTTGCTTACTATTTCACAGAGGTAACAATGTGAGTTGAGTTCCCGTGCATCGACGCAATCGCATGACGTTGTGCACTACCAGAAGAGTTCTTAACGAGGATATTTTGAAGGATGTTTGCTCACTATTTCACAGAGGTAACAATGTGAGTCGAGTTCCCGTGCATCGACGCAATCGCATGACGTTGTGCACTACCAGAAGAGTTCTTGACGAGGATATTTTGAAGGATATTTGCTTACTATTTCACAGAGGTAACAACGTGAGTCGAGTTCCCGTGCATCGACGCAATCGCATGACGTTGTACACCACCAGAAGAGTTCTAAACGAGGATATTTTGAAGGATATTTGCTTACTATTTCACAGAGGTAACAACGTGAGTCGAGTTCCCGTGCATTGACGCAATCGCATGACGCTGTTCGAGTTCAAATATTTCGCATCTTCACAATTCGCGCTCTAATGACTAGGAGTTATGAAATTGCACGCATTGCTTTCAGACATTTGATAGGCTTGTCATTAAGACTACTATAGTGTGTAATTAATGAAATGTAACAAGTTCGAGAGCTAGTCAGAGTCGAACGGGGCCTCCTCCATCTCCAGTCTCTGGGCAGCGAGAGCACTGACGGACATCTGGGAAATGACATCCAGCGTCAAGTCCTGTCGGTGATTTCGTCCAAAAACTTTCCTACACAGGACGTTAGCGATCACTGCGAGCTGCTGACAGTCAGGCATCTACCTTGTCCACCATTCCAGAAGCGCATTTACCCTAGCTCGCGCGGCTGGACCTGGCGCATCTTCGAAAAAATCTACGATGTTGTTCCAGAACAATTGATAATCGAAGTCCGCATCCACGGTGCGCCAGGAGGTGATGTTTGAAAGAGCAAATCGGACCTGCCAAAATCAATGTTAAATTTATAGTCGGACGCAAGAATTGAAACGTACCTGACAAGCAGTGTAGGCAATCGCGCGAGGACTCACCTTCCTCATGCCTATGATGGAGGCGACGCAAGTCTTGACTCTTGCTTGGTCTGATCGTCTCCGGGCGCGTCGGTTGTTCTCCAGAATATCGGCACCATCCCCGTCCCCATCTACTTCATTGGCAGAGGACGGAGAAGTGAAAATGGCCTTGAAGCCCTATGATGCATTGAGCTGTGATTCAGTCGGAAAAATAAGGTCACGCACCATGACCAATAACTTTGACTTCATGAGGCCGCGCTCGAGATTCTTGACGGAAGCCTCATAGCCTTCATACATAAATATCGGCCATGAGTTCTCGGAGACGATGTAAGCAGCTGTGCGGTCACGAATCCCAGCCCTGACGCTGGACAAATATCAGCAACGTGTGGGCGATGAGGACTGTTGCTTACGTTGGATCGTCCCAGCGCCATTCCGCTGGACAGAGCAGGCGACCACATTCATCATTCACGAAGCCCCGGTGGTGCTTGTCATCGGTCCTGAGAAGCGGAGTCGGATTACGCTCGATGTTCACCCACGATGCAATGAGCTCCTTGAGAGTGCCTGTGTCATCGCCACGAGCCGAGTCCGCACCTCGTTTGAGCTACATAAAAAATGAGCAGGGCTATAATAATAAAGACGTTGAGGGCAAGCCTTTCTGAGCATCTCTTCCGACTCCTCATGGTCAACGTTTGTTAGTTTCTGGTGAATCCATGGTAGTGTCTTGCAAAGTTCGATATAGCCACGTTGGTAGCGATCTTGTCTGTGCATTGTTGTAAATAAAATCAGTACCACCGTGACAAACATCATCGAATCCTTACTCAACAGTAGCGTCACTGTCGCCGTCTTCACAGCGCCGGTCGTTTTCGGCAATAAGGTCCTCCATGGGAGTATAAAGGGCGACCATACGGCGGATCGCTCGTCCCTGCGAGACATAGTAGATCGTCTTCCTGCAATGGGGAGTCAAAACCACCTGGAGAATTCAAGAGGATGCATACCTCTGTTTTGTTACCCTGTCCTGTTTCATAATTTCGACCTCCTCCTCAAGAGCCGCAATCCTTCGCTTCGCTCTGGCATGCGGAGACGTCGGGATACACAGGGAAACTCCCTGAGCCTGACTTGGAGCGCTGCCCGAATCGTTCCCCGATTCCATCATACTAGAGTTCGAAGGTCAGAAAGAGGAGTGCAGCAAGCGAGTGTGAAAGTGAACGAGGGTGAAAGCCTCCTACGAGGTTGTCTTATATGCGTACGACGTCTGCACTAATGACCTAATGAAAAATGAATACGTGTTGGTTAGAATTCTCAATTAAGCAGGTGGAAGTTAGCCTTACACGGAAGTAATTTAAAACTTTACTGTTAAGCCATAAATTGACTGCGTGTTGGGCCTTTTTAGGATAGTCTAAGGAACGAAGTTAGCTAGGCGCGACAGATGCCGGAACAAGCGTCTCTTGGTCGTTTCCTGAATCTTTTCGGTATATCAGATCTTCCACGTCGTTCGGTGGAAGTCCAGCCTTGATTTATTCTATGGATTTCCTACATCTATTACCTCGGTAACGCTATCAGATGTCAGATACCAAGTCAAAAGTGCTTACTCACAGCACGAGTACTCGTTGGCCTCGGCTTGACCAATCCTCCTGAAGTGTGGCGAGCATCTGCCTCGCCCTGCTCGTTAACGTGACGACCGTCCCATCACCTTGTAGCACACTGGTGCAGGAAGGGAATAAAACATCAGGAGCTCCCTTGACGAACATCCATGTCGATTCTGCGTTCTTTTCAAAAGATACTATTCTCCCTCTTTTTGAGCCTCCCTCTGCTGTCGCTGTAAATTGGCCTCCGACTTAGTCTGTGAATAAACAGCTCTTTGTATCACTTACGCAAAGGCACGATTCTTTCTCTTCCGGCTTTCCTTCTTGCCTACATTTCGAGCCAATTTCCGTTTGGCAGCAGCTTCTGGGTTGGTGGTCGCCTGCTCGAAGTGATGAGTACTGGTGCAAGATGAATGAAACCCAACCCACCTTCGTGGCCCGCGCTACTCGTCTTTCTTGCTGGATGCTAGATGCTCCCTGCCTGATGCGGTTGTACGTATTGGCAAAAACCGTCGTGCCAACTTTGTTTTGAGGCAAGTCAAGAAGTTCGGTGGCCGTAACTTTCAGCTCCTCTGCAATGCTATGAATATATGACCAACTTGAAAAGCGATATGCATACCCATTCCGGCATTGCGGATTGTATCGTCCTCCGTTATCCGATAAACAAATGTAAGTATGTGCGTCAAGAACCGCTCAAGTTGCGTGGCCTCCATGTGAGACGCCATAGCAGCAAAGAAGCGCAGAATGGACAAGGGAGCCAACGACCAGGTTGTTTGATTCTGAAACAGGAAAGTCAGAGGAAGTTAGATTTGATGGCATTAACCGAACTCACAGGGGCATTACCGCGGTTCCGCCGCGCGATGTGGGCTGAGCGAGCTTGATACGACAACTTGGAGAAGAGCCAAGGTAGGGGATCCTGAGAGCTTTTTTCTCGGCTCATTTGCGTAGGTTTTGATTGTTCAGCGGAGTCATCGCTCTCACCACCATCCGAGTCCGTCTCGGCTGTGTGGTTGGTATTACTCCCGAAGGGCGAAGAAGAGGGGACAGTGCAGAGTAGTTTTCCTACGAAGAAAAGGTTCTGCACAATCTGTAGACCGAGAGGTGCGTCGAGATTGGAGCTCTTCAACTGTGTGCATAGCTTCTCTGCAATATCTTTCATCGACTGGAGGGTAAGGTGCGAATTCTCGAGAGTGGGGGTAGGGCCGTAAAATGCGAAGAACACGCCCAACAGCTGACAAGCTGCTGAGCGTACCCAAGCGTGTGGAAAGAGGAGGTATGGGACGAGTTTGTCCTGGGTGGTTTTTATCGCATCAAGCGTATGCTCAGGCAAGGTCTGCAAGAGCTTCGAGACAGCAAGCATTGCCTGGTACGGCGGTTGCCATTCCACGTCAACATCCATGTCTTTTCCATCGCCATCGCCATCGCCATCCAACAGGGTCAGCGACTGAATGCTGTCGTCCAAGATCTCTTGAACATCGACGAACAGGGCAGCGGCATGCGGAGAAGCTTCTCGCTGTAAAGCGTCGATGATGAGCCTGTATACCTGCACCGTAACCGCCCTAAGTTTTGCTTGCCCTTGTTGACTGGCCCACGCGTGCAGATGACCAACAAGTACTTTTCTCTCGTCCTCTCCCAACCTCTTGATCAAGCTTTGAAGGTCTGATGCGGAAGCTTCTCTGCAAGACAGAGTACAAGGGCAACGAGAATCATCTCCGCGTGTTTTGCCAGCAATGCAGAGTCGAACTTGTTCACAAGCACACCTAAGAGTTCGAGAATACTTGAACGTCCTGACGCATGTTCATACGAAAGATTTCGGGCAAAGAAACCGAGGGTGGTCTGCAGTCTTCCAGAGCGTTGAGGATATTCGAGGAGAAACTGAAGAAGAAGGGATCGAGCGGACTCGCGAGTCTGTGCCGCTTGTGACGTGACCAAGATAGCATATACGTGACGCAGCCATGACGTCGTAAAGCTCAGGTACAATCAACCGTCCGACCACAATAGCTCTCAGTAACGCAAAAACGGTGCTCTGCCTGTCGAAGTCCTCGAGGTAGGGTGAAACCAATTCAATCAAGAACAGTAGATCTTTCTCTTTGACCTGAGCGCCCTCGCACTCTCGTATAATAATATAGATAGGACGAAGCCAAAACTTCAATTTTTTTGGTCAACTATACAATCAAAAAGAGAGATCATTATCAAACGAGTCGTCGTCAGGCTCTCCTGTATCTTCCAATTCCGACTCGGATTCCTCAAGTCCATCACCTTCGTCTTCCGACTCCTCGCAAAGATCACTTTCACAGTCCATCCGTTCTTCATCGGAATTTTCTTCGTAGTCCTGACCATCATTTCCGAGTCTACCTTCGCCGATGTCCATGGCTTCCACAGGTGCTACTGACCGGAAGCCAAAACATTCTCTAACAGCTCTCCGCAAAGATACTGGATGTCCTACACCCAAGTCAGTATAGCGCAGGAACATATCGCGGTCAACAAAACTAGTAGCTCTAACAGGTAAGAATCATTCAGCAACATAAAGGCACATCACACTCACATGCCGACATAATACTCTTCCCAGTCATCTTGTTCTTCCTTGGGACGTGCTAAAGATTTTCCATAGCGAAGCGCACTCACACCGCGCCCCGAAGCGAATGAAGGGATTAAATGAGCCCCTCGAATCACTTGACCTGGATCAAGAAATCCGAACGCGTCGCGGTCCGACTCCTCCACGAATGCTACCTTGGGAAGGCGGGCGCGCTGCATGCCAGACTGATATTCTGACGGTATCAATGATGCAAACCATCGGACATAGAGAACGTCGACACGCTGTGCTTCGGTGCGACCACAAGACCCTTGAAGCCAAGTATCTATGTGATAGATACCGAGTACGCGAGCATACCAATATGGGTGAGTAGGGGCGGTTTCTCCAGAAAGCACCATCACATCTGCGTGTGTGCAGAGGTTGATAGTATCATATTCGCGCCTCATGTCGTAAGTAGTGTAGTGTACCTTCATCGTCTGGACCGAGTAGACCATATTGTTAGGTATGATGACCTTGTTGCGCTCCTCGTCCGTAAACATGTGATCGCAATCACTGACATCCAGCTTGTTTAGCCTGTACAAGATATGGTCCTTGAGTTTCGGGATGAAGCCCTGAAAGTCGTCATCATAAGCAAACTGGGCCAAAAGTGCGAAGCCATTTTCACCTTAGTAGCTGGATCGTTGTCGTGTTTCTGAAGGAATGCGAACAGCGAAACTGGATTATTTCGACTACTTGCTATAAAATAATGGTCTTGAGGACACAGTGGAGTAGGAGAGTTGGCCGGAATTTGGTCACTTGACAAGGTGTCATTTGCTGCTTCCCTAACTCGCCGTAGCATACGACGCCTACGCTCGTGTTTTGCTAGCTGTGCCGGAGTGTCCAGCTTGCTCGTTAACGGATAGAATGCCTTCAAGATTCTGTGCGCCAGTTCTCCCTGGCCAATAGCATAAGTTTCGTATTGTCCTTGAAGAGAATACGTACGATCTGAGTAGTAAAAGAGTCGGTAGTGCCGAAGAGCTTGATAGTGCGCACGTAGTCACCCATTGCGTGAAACTTATAGGTATTTAAATTGAACTTTTTCGTTCTTGGCCCACTGGATTCCGAAGAAGCCACATTACTGGATTCGGGACGTTGAGCCAACCTTCGTTGGCGAGCTGCCGTCTCTTTTTGTAATTCTACAGTGTTAAAGGCGGTGCACGTAAAGTCACGGAATTTCCGTAACTGTCGAGAGAGAGTTTTGAATGTGTCCTCGAAGAAACCAAGGGTCGACTCCGAATGATTTCTTAACTTGGCAAGTGCATGCCATTGAGCGAATCTATACAAAAGAGTCTGCACAATCATGTCATGACTGGCGGGAAACAGCCCTTCGAATACTGGTATTGCACACTACAGAGATCGTTAGTACGCTACATAGAGAACGGTAAAGTTAAAGAGCAAAAAACCTGTAAAATGTCTTCGAAGTCCCGCGCGGCCAGCCTCTTCATGTCAGATGTGTTATTTGCAAAGGTTCGAATTACCCCACTACCGAAGGTTGGGATCTGACGAAATCTGTGGTATCATAGAATTGTTACTGATAAGTTACGCAGAAACATTGGACAGAAGCCTACCTGGAGTCTAAGGTTGCAACTAGCTGAGCTCCGCCTGGCAGTGCATATAGGATCCTGACGAGGTGAGTAAATAGAGCCTTCCAAGTACCCAGCTCGCACTCATGCATGAGATCCACGACGAGCATCCGGAATGGGTCGAGGTGCAGGGCTCCGAGCTTCTCGACAAATTTGTTCTGCCAGTTACTCATCTGAGCAGTACTCTGACATAGCTGCATAAAATCCGCGCTCACCATAACAGGCACCCAGGAGCCCTCTCCAAGCGCCTCTTCAACTTTCGTACCGTCTACAGTGTTTCCCCACTTATAAATATATTCTCGTGCCGTGAAGATATTAGCCTTGACGTAGACTCGGAGATTATCGAGACGACTCTTCATGTCCTTGAGGAAGCCTAGAGAGGCGAACAGACTTTTTGGCGTGAGACAGCGCGGGCAGGGACATGAGCCCATGTCTTTGATGGTAGCAATTAAGACCCTGAAACTCATTCAGTAATCCACCAATCCTCAAAAACGTAACGCACTTTTCGGGATAGTCAGCTGAATACGTGAATATACGAGGAAATACCCTGCGTAACACTCCATCGGCACATTTTAGTACGATACCATGGCGGTATGCTTGAATGAAGTCTTGATCTAGTAAGGTATCCCAGCATGCGTGGAACAACTCGCGTCGACAATGAGCGTGAAGAGCGGCCATGCCACTCTTCGATATTCGAGGCAAGTTGCTTATAATATCTTTGACCTTATCAGGCAGCTAGCGTGCAATGTCAAATGGTGCTTGAAGGCAGAAAAGGAAAACTTACCGACGGTAAAAACCCTACAAGGTGACATGCACCAGAATTTGGTGCAGAACGTGCATATTTGGTCAGGTTTCCGAAGTACATATAAAGTGGCCAGGCTTTCGCCGTTCCGAAGTTCGCCAGATGTGTGGCATCGGAAAAAAACATGAGGCCAGCTATTACCCGTTCCAGTGAACATCCGGACTCCTTTGGGAGCTTTTGCAGCTCATCCTGGGCATCTAGCCATGAGTCAGACGTGTACAACTCATCGAATATTCGCTCTTCATGACCGTCCAACGGATCCTTCCACAGACGCTTAAAAGGTGAGAGATGGAATGCGCTCGCTTGAATATCAGCGAAAGCCGACCTGATCACTTCAACGAGTGGGCGGAAATGGAACCCTGGAACGAGAAAAGATCTAGTGTCGCCATCACCCAATTTTGTAGGAATATCGATAGTGACATTGGCTTGAGTCCAGTCATCTGGAAACTTGATATTCTTGCCGCTGGGGTCGTCGTCCAATTTTCGCAAATTGTTCTTTACTGAGAAGTCCTCTAGGTGCGCTATGTCGAAGTCTTTCGCCAGCATTACTTCCTTGACGAGACGAGCGACTTCAGTCTCGGATTTCTGATTGCTTCCGGAATTCATCCAAGACATCAGCCGGTAGACCGTCATGTTAGGAAAAGGATAAGGAGGTGGGAGAATACCAGGCGAATCAGTCTCCCCCATGATAATTGGACACGTCGTTGAGAGTAGCTCGGATGGAACGAATTTGTCTGGCTCGAAGGATGGGCGGCGGGGGTACAATCGGCCGAGTCCAAGAGAATTGAACGAAGTCTGAAGTGTGTCTCGTAATGTCAATAGGACTCTCCGTATTCTAGATTGAGGTGGGGCGATATTTCGAGCGCTACCGTGACCAGTAGGCGAAGCATCAATATGATCCGAGATATTGGCGTCCTCATCAGAAAGAGAGATATTCTCGAAAGGCCTGGGTATCCGTCTCATTGGCAGATGGTACAAAGGTTTTTCTGCTAAAAGAATGATTAGTAAATGTTGGGAACCCACTACTGCCAGGAGACTTACTAGTAGTACCCGACTGAGCATGATGAGAGTCAATCTCAGGTACTGCACTATTGAAACTATCGTCTACATCAAATTGTTGCTGCGAGGTTTGCTGGAAATGCCCGTGACTCCCTGCTGCGCCGGAAGTGTGTCTTCCATGGACAGCCTGGATCTTGCCATACCTGGCGGACGGTTTACACGAAGCAATAGGCTTTGAACAGTCACGCCGACCCTCAGGCACATGCTGAATAGGCAATATCGTTTTGTTCTAGAAATATGTCATCAATCGCTAAGCTGTCATGACTGTATTGTAAGATAGAAAAGGCTCCTCACCGATAAGTTGGAACTGCCGCAAGAGGCTAAGCCTTCTGTTGAACTGGTAACTATTCGCCGCACCAAACCGTCACGGTTCCGAGTCAGTGGAGATCTGGCTGCCTCCTTAGCTCTCTCGTGTCTTCTCTGACTGGCTGAGATTCTGTATTTATTGTAGGATTGGCAGGTTGCACGATGCCTACTAAGCCCTCGAGTGTCGGTTGCTTTCTCCCAGGAGCAGCCTGGAGCTTTGCAAGCCTGAGACGACACCATCGGCGAACAGTAGTAAATGACAGAGAGTGAGAGCCAAAGAAAAATAAGCCCGGGCCATAGACTCAGTTTTTTGCGCATTCGCCGAACAACTGTTTAGTCACAAGTTCGACTGGAAGGCTTGCTTAGTACTGCTCGGCTGACCGCATCGATATTTCCCTTTTCAGTAATCACCTTCGAATCATTCAATCTAGTGAAATTGGAATGACAAGGTTGAGTGCGATGGATTCAATGTCAAGAACTTCAAGCTCAGTCACAGTAGTGACTCTAGTACTAGCACGGTAGTCAAACAATTACTAGTATACAGCGACAATCATTCTTCTCGTTTCTTCTTGCTGCTGCGACCGCATACGCCAGCCATGACGTTAATGATACACATGTACTTCTAACATGGATGGATCCGGGAACGATTGCAAGTGAGCATAAAGAAAGGATCTGGCATTTGTACCATGGTCAGCATCATGGCCTCTGCAAAGATTCCATAAATCACCTTTCCTCAGACCGCCAACTGGGGTGACATAGGCCCGTTCATATCTGCCAAAATGGTCTCCAAGCATGCGTTCAAGCGAACTTCAGGAGTTGGATCATCGGAGGGTAGTGATAAGTCGCGCTCATGTGCAACATCCTGCAGTTGTTCAAGTTGTTCATCCGCAACAGTGTACGCTGTGAAATCATGGGTGTATGCAGCAATACCGAAGTCCGCGTCATCTTCAAGCTGATTCTGTTACAAGTAACATCGGCTACGTGGCCCCCCTATCATTTTTCCTTCGTCCTCGCCCTCGTATGCCTCCGGCTCGTACTTCTCTACCGACTATCCGTTGACCGGATCCTCGGGACCGTTCCCGTCCCTCGCCTCCCCCTCCTATCGCACCAATGTGCGCACGTGCCTTCGGGCTATGACTCGTTCTGACTCGTGCCACCAATGTGGCTTTCCTTATCGTGTCTTATCTTTCCTTTGACTCGTGCATGCTGCACGTTGTATCATTTACCATTGGCTCGTTCCAACGTTTCTCGGTCTCATTCCGCATTCGACCTTACATCACTAATCAGGCTCTGCCACCATCGTACCTATACCCTTTCCGTTTCCCCTTTGCCCTTACCTACAGTACGGTAGCCTTGCCCTTAACCCTTTCCACTTAGTATAAGTAGTCGGTCACTCTGTACTAGATTCCCTAACTTGAATCTACTCAATCTTCCCTCGAACATACTTCCCTCTGAAGCCCCCTCAGCTTCAGTCTCTAGTATCTTTTCTTAGGTGCTCATCGCGCCTAAGTCTACCTCGATCGACCACCTCATCGTTCGGACAAGACTGTCCTTACTTTGAGAACGTCAGTGACTTTGAAGACATCCGTCTTAGAAGTCACGTGACACGCGCGTCTCTGATATCTGCCGACTCGACGTCGCCAGTCTCAGTCGCTACACCGGACCCTTCCGGTTACGTCACGAACGTTAGCGGACGACGCCCCTCTTAGGGCTCCGCATAACAGATCTATTTGAGTGCGTAACAAAAGATTCAAGTTTCCTTTTTTTGCGCCCTGCCATCCGCACGGCCATTAACCGACAGACACCACGACTACCTGGACCCCGAAGTATCCTTGGGAACGCGATCCCAACACTCCGGACTCCGAAGAAGAAGAATCGGAAGAAGACCACACGTCCTCCGACGAGTTTCCCGACGAACAACCGTACGGTAACCTCAACTCGAACCCTGGAACAAGAATGTCCGGAGGCCCCACCCCACAACCAACAGTGGTCGTATCCAGGCCTGAACTAAAGGCTGGAGTACCACAGAACTATGATGGAAACATCGATGATGCCGAGCGCTGGATGTACTCGGTGGAGACATACTTCCTCATCAACTCGACGATCTACAGCTCCGACCAAACCAAGGTCGCTGTTGCACTCCAGTATATGAACGATGGAGACGCCCGCGTCTGGGCCGACACCTTCTACCGAGCAGCCTTCGACAAAACTCCCGTCGACTTCGGTAGCTGGAAGGACTTCAGGAAGGCTTTCACCGAATCCTTCCACCCGGTCGACCGGATGACTGAGGCTCTAACCAAGCTTCATGGTTTGACCCAGACTGGCGACGTGATGCCCTACATCGCAACGTTCAAAACCCTGTCGTCCACTGCTAGTCTCAAGCAGGACGTCGCCCTCATCCACTTCTTCGAAAGAGGGTTGAAACCAGGACTTCGAACCGCCATCTACACGAAGGAGGTCGTCCCCAACACCATCGATAAATGGTACACTGCCGCGACACAGTTGGAAGCCAACTACAAGCGATCAAGAGCAGTTGTGTCCAACAACAGATCGGTACGCCCTTCCGGGCACCGGCACGTCCCCAAGCCTCAGGTCCGCCAACGCGATCCAGATGCTATGGACGTTGATCGTTCCCTCACGCCTGAGGAACGACAGAAGTGCTTCGATAAAGGCCTTTGCTTCAAATGCAAGGAGAAGGGCCATCGAGCAAACGACTCCCGGTTCCACCCGAAGGTGCGCCGAGGAGACAAGAACGACGAAGAAGACAAAGGCAAGAAGCCAAACAAGTCTGGCGTCCGCCAGCTTGACGAGTCTTCTGACGAGGAAGACATGGAAGTCAACCTTGTCAAAAGAAAGGATTTTTAAAGAGAGGGCTTGTCGAACGGTCAATTCCCTCTATCTGCGCATTGTATACTAAAGCTGTTGGTAAATCCAACGAGTTTCGTGTCCCGGTGACACTTTTCTCTTCTTGCAGTGCCAAAACCGTTCAGTCGACCGCCATCATCGACTCAGGGGCAGGTGGGACCTTCATTAGCTATGACTTCGTCAAGCGAAATGGGATCCGGACCCACCTACTCAAGAAACCCTTCCGGATCACCACAGTAGACGGAAGCCCGTCCTCGGCAGGACAGGTAACCCAATACTGCATGCTATTCATTCGTCTCGATCGGAGACTTATGTATGGAAAGTTCAACGTAACGAAACTTTCCAAGCATGATGACCTACTTTTTGGAAAACCTTGGCTTAGTGCCATGATGCCCAATATCGACTGGAAGGCCAACACGATCTCCCTGCCTGCGACCAATAGGTCAAAGGAGGTGGAGAGGGAACTCAACGCCTCCCGACGAGAAAGCAAGGCCAAGCCATATCTCTTTCGTGGAGAAAAGGCTGTCCTAGAAGAACTCGACGACGAGGACTTTTCGCCCCTCAAGCGACTCCCCAAAGGCACCCAACATTGCCTCGAGGAAATCAAGAAACGCAAGAAGCGTAACAAGAAGAAGACGGCGCCAATCATCGTGCCCTTCGAAGATACCGACTTCAACACCATGGACGATGTCTGGGTCGGACAGACCCATCTTGCGGATAAAGTTGAGGAGATCTCCACTTATCCCCTCACTGACGATGAAGTCCTAGTGGAATATGCTTCGGACGGAACATCCGTCCGGATCATCGAAAACATCTCTTTCGACACTCCGCTCACCAAGGATGGGACCTCGAAGAAAGAAATCCGGAAGGCTCTCCACAGACGAGCAAAACCTCTCCGGAACCTCTGGATCCTCGCTTCTCAGCAGGACTACACGAAGACCTCCAACAAAGCTCAAGAATTTGCTATGGAGGACGCGCAGGAAAAGAAGAAGAAATCATTTGAAGAACTGGTACCTTCCTATCTTCATGATTTTGCTGACATCTTCGCAAAGGACGGTCTAAACAAACTCCCTCCCTCACGACCGGGAGTAGACCACAAAATCGAAACGAAGGAAGGCTTCATTCCGAAGTCTTCTCGAGCCTACCCGCTCTCACCGAAGGAAACCGATGCTGTCAAAGCATTTCTGGACGAACACCTCGCCAAAGATTTCATCCAACCCTCGAAGTCTCCTCAAGCTGCTGGATTCTTCTTTGTCGGCAAGAAGGACGGATCTCTCCGCCCCTGCCAGGATTACCGATACATCAACGAATGGACGATCAAGAACGCGTACCCACTCCCTTTGATACCACCCTTGCTTGCGAAACTCAACAAGGCGCAATGGTTCACAAAGGTCGACGTACGCTCAGGATATAACAATATCCTCATTCATCCCGACGACAGGTGGAAGGCCGCGTTCTCCACCTCATACGGGCTCTTCGAGCCCAAGGTAATGTTTTTCGGATTGTGCAATTCACCCGCCACCTTCCAAGCTTACATGAACCAGACATTTTCAGAAGAACTGAACGAAGGATGGTTAATCGTCTATATGGACGACATCCTGATCTTTTCAGATAACCTGGATGAACACCGGCAAAGGACCCGCCGAGTGTTGGAGAAACTCCGCAAAGAGTCTCTCTTCCTCAAACCCGAGAAATGTACTTTCGACTCTCAAGAAGTCGAGTACCTCGGTATGATCATTCGACCTGGACAGGTCGCTATGGACACTGCCAAGCTGAAAGGCATCAGCGAATGGCAACAACCCTCTTCGGTCAAGGACGTGCGGTCCTTTCTTGGATTCTGCAACTTCTACCGTCATTTCATTCCCCACTACTCCGACATCGCACGCCCTCTCCTCGATCTCACCAAGAAGGAGATTCCCTTCTCTTGGTCCGATTCTACCGAGGCTTCATTCCAGCATCTGAAGAAGCTTTTCACCACCGAACCGGTTCTGCGGAACCCCGACTCATCGCGACAGTTTGCACTTGCAACTGACGCCTCGCTCTTCGCGACCGGAGCAGTCTTACTCCAGACGGATAGCAATGGGGATTACCACCCCTGCGGCTACCTCTCCCAGTCCCTCAACGCGGCCGAACGGAACTACGAGATCTACGACCGAGAACTCCTTGCCATCATCCGAGCCCTTCAGGCTTGGAGGCACTTCCTTGAAGGAAACCCTCATCCAGTCATTGTCTTCACGGATCACAAGAACCTGATCTATTTCCGCTCCGCGCAACGACTCACCCGACGACAGGCCCGGTGGCACCTCACGCTCACCAACTTTGATCTGGAACTTCACCATGTTCCTGGAACAAAGCTCGCTGCACCGGATGCCTTGTCCCGCCGTCCGGACCACGCTATAGCTGGTCAGGATAACGAGGATCGTATCCTCCTCCCCGACACCCTGTTCACCCGTCTAATCGACGCTGAACTCGCAGACGAGTTTCAACGACTCTCTGACGACCCCTCCGACCAGACTGTGAAAACAGCCTTGGACGCTCTTTCCGGGGTGTGCGCACCCCCCATGAAGTCTGCACTTTCCGATTGGAGGTTCACCGATGGTGTTCTCTTCTATAAGGATCGTGCCTACGTTCCCCCCGACCTCCGGCATCGCGTGTTGTCTCTACATCACGATCACCCAACCGCCGGGCACCCCGGGCGTTCCGGTACCGAATGGAACGTCAAGAAATCCTACTGGTGGCCCGGAATGGGCTCCTTCATTAGGAAATACGTCGATGGCTGCGCCATGTGCCAGCAGATGAAGGTTAACACCCACCCCACGACACCTCCCCTCACCCCGATACCCTCCTCGGCCCTCCGGCCCTTCGCTCAGGTCTCGGTTGATTTAATCACCGACCTCCCCGAGAGCGCTGGCTACGATTCTGTCATGGTCGTGGTAGACCATGGGCTTACGAAGGGGGTAATTCTCTGCCCTTGCAGAAAAACCATCACAGCGGAAGGAGTAGCCGAACTTTTCTTCAAGAAAGTGTTCATGCGCTTCGGACTCTATGACAAGATCATCTCGGACCGAGGCCCCCAATTCGCCTCGAAGCTAGCAAAGGAGCTAGGACGACTCCTCGACTACCAAGTCGCACTTTCCACTGCCTATCACCCTCAGACAGATGGTCAGACCGAACGGCTCAACCAAGAGCTCGAAACCTACCTCCGGATCTACTGCCGGACGACTCCCTCCGAATGGGCAAAGCACTTGCCTATGGCCGAATTTGTTCATAACTCCCGACGACACTCTGCCAGAAATGCCTCCCCCTTCTATCTCATGATGGGCTACGAACCACGAGGCATCCCCCATCTCTTCCCCGACTCTACCCTACCAACCGCCGAAGACCGAGTCAAATCACTCGCCAAGATCCGCGAAGAAGCCCTTGCATGCCACAGCCTCGCGCAGCAACGCATGGCTGATCGTTCCTATGGCCAGCGTTACAAGCCATGGAACGTTGGTGATAAGGTATGGCTATCCGCCACGAACCTGATCACCGGATTCCCTTCTAGGAAACTCGCCCCGAAACGCTATGGACCCTTCCCAATCCAGAAGGTCCTCTCCCCCATCACGTTCCAGCTCAAGCTGCCTGCCAGCTGGCGTATCCACCCCACGTTCCATGCCTCGGAACTTTCCTCCTATCAGGAGACAGACGTGCATGGACCGAATTTCACCGAACCTCCTCCTGATCTTATCGATGGAGAGGAACACTACGAAGTGGAAGCTATCCTCCAACACAAGGGTACCGGATCGCGTCGCCGGTACCTCGTGTCTTGGGTTGGCTATCCTGCCTCCGAACGAACGTGGCTCCCCGAAACAGAATTGAAGTCCGCAGCGGAGCTCCTGAAGGCGTATAAGAAGCGACTCAAGATCGCTTCAATCGCCATCTCATGTTGATCAACAACCGCCACCGCAACTTCTCCTACCGCCCTCACTACACTAGGGCTGACCCCACCAGCGAACCCATCCACACCGATACCAAAGCCTTCCATCGCCAACGAATCCGCAATCGCCACCGCCCCACGAAATCCACACCCGTCGACAAACAGAGGCCCACTACCCAATACCCCACCTACGCCACTACCCAAGGAAAGACGCTCCACTATGTCGGCCTCAGCGTCGTCTGTTTCCTCGCACCGATCCGCTACCTCTCATGCGTCTGCCTCCGACCCCGACCCGACGAGCCAGCCAACGCATGGCCATGATAGGCCCTCCTACACCGTCTTCCGACGACCATCCCTTCGCTCAGTTGTCCAAGACAGGCAACGGGCCTACTGGGAAGCAGTCATCTGCGATCCCCAGTATGCAATCCGACTCGACAACTATCTCAACCGCACCAACGACGAGATAACCATGAACCTCGTCCAGGCCTTCAGGGCCACCGACGCCCTCACCGGCGATATCGCCAGGATCGACCTGGCTAGGGAGACTTCCCTATCCACCGTCTCGACCAGATACAATCAAGGCAAGATCAAACGAGCCCTGCTAAATCTGTTTGAACTCAGGAACTTCCATGCCGCCGTCATGGCCGTCGAGGAGGAGCGGGCATTTAATCCCCCTCCCGACCCGCTTGCAGTCGTCGAGCGTGCTGTCTATGACAGAGCTCCGACCCCCTTCCTTCCCCAGCTACCCCGCTCTGAATCACCAGAGCAGATCCCCAACGTCACCCAGCTGACCAACCCCGAGATCGACCGTCTCTATAACGAATACGAACGCGAGCTCTACGCTCCACGTAACCCCTCCCCCATCCTCGATGCAGACACCATCTCTATCATCATCCCAGAATTGGATGAATGCCCTCCCGCATCACCTGTTCTCAACCCCGATGATTGGGTACCCACCGAGACGGTCCCACACCTCTCTATTGGTTCTCCGGAACCCCTTCCCACTCCGCAACGCCGAAATCACCGTGCTCGTGCACGATCCATCTTGTCCCTAGGACTACCCCTCTCCCATGCGCATCGACCGCGCACCCAGAACTTCACTAGGCACTATCCTCGCGAGGAAGCCCAGGAAGACGCCATCAACGACGCGCGTCGTGATGCCACCGAGACCACCCAGGTCTACCGCAGCAACGTTGTCTGCCGCCAGTGCCGTGTCTACGGACACAAACAGAAACACTGCGCGCAATACTTCTGCCGCATTTGTGGGCAATTTGCCCCAAAACATCTCACTCCTTTCTGCCCTCGACTTGACGGCAGGAAGATCCTTCGTCGTGGAACCTCTTCCGACCGGTTCTACAGGGACATGCAGCAGCTTGAAGCTGCGTATGACCAGGACGCTGCTCGCCTTGAGCAAGAACGCGAAGAGAATGCAATCGAAGCCGCCTCCTGGCTCGAAGACCTCGACTTCGACCCCGCATGGTATAACAACCAGGACGACTACGTTCCTCTGGACGACGATTAAAGAGTTCGTGGAACTCTACCTTGAAACGGGGGTAATGTTACAAGTAACATCGGCTACGTGGCCCCCCTATCATTTTTCCTTCGTCCTCGCCCTCGTATGCCTCCGGCTCGTACTTCTCTACCGACTATCCGTTGACCGGATCCTCGGGACCGTTCCCGTCCCTCGCCTCCCCCTCCTATCGCACCAACGTGCGCACGTGCCTTCGGGCTATGACTCGTTCTGACTCGTGCCACCAATGTGGCTTTCCTTATCGTGTCTTATCTTTCCTTTGACTCGTGCATGCTGCACGTTGTATCATTTACCATTGGCTCGTTCCAACGTTTCTCGGTCTCATTCCGCATTCGACCTTACATCACTAATCAGGCTCTGCCACCATCGTACCTATACCCTTTCCGTTTCCCCTTTGCCCTTACCTACAGTACGGTAGCCTTGCCCTTAACCCTTTCCACTTAGTATAAGTAGTCGGTCACTCTGTACTAGATTCCCTAACTTGAATCTACTCAATCTTCCCTCGAACATACTTCCCTCTGAAGCCCCCTCAGCTTCAGTCTCTAGTATCTTTTCTTAGGTGCTCATCGCGCCTAAGTCTACCTCGATCGACCACCTCATCGTTCGGACAAGACTGTCCTTACTTTGAGAACGTCAGTGACTTTGAAGACATCCGTCTTAGAAGTCACGTGACACGCGCGTCTCTGATATCTGCCGACTCGACGTCGCCAGTCTCAGTCGCTACACCGGACCCTTCCGGTTACGTCACGAACGTTAGCGGACGACGCCCCTCTTAGGGCTCCGCATAACAGATCTATTTGAGTGCGTAACAGATTCTTACTACGTTTCACCAAAAGCCTCTCGAAGAAGGAAGCTTCCGCCATGCTTTCAGCATACTTCTTAGCATCAATCAACAGAAGCGCCTGGAGAAGAATCGCGTGTCGTTCAGTTGTCTCGAGCTCCCAAGCCGTCGTGAGAGCGCGCAAGCGCCTAGATTCGCGATCAGATCGCTTTGCTAGGACGGCTGCACGGACGGCGCTGTCAGGCAAAGCATCAATACCACGATTGAAGACTTCGAAGCCCTATTATAATGCCTGTCATTATGGAGTGATCTATGATCAACGTTGAGCTAAAATACCTTCTGGACATCTATCATACTCATATCAGTCTCGCCAGAGTGCTTTCCCAGAGATCTTTCGACAAATCGGAGTTCTAATGCACTGGGAGCAGCATCATGGCACGACATTCCCTGAGCGGGCCGGAATCTTTGGGCCGAGCGTAGTGCATAAGAAGGCATGTGGCGGGTTACGAAGGGAAGGGATTGAGGCGCATACAATGGGTCATTGGAGTTATCATGTCGCTGCCTGATGGAGTCCAGGAGTACATCATGGGGTCGACTCGGAGTTTGAGTCTTGTCTGAGGGCTCGGAGTTGTCCTGCAACATGGATTTAGCGAGGATACGGTCAGCAGCTCGTGTTACACGGTGCGGATCAGGACTGGATCCTCTAAAAGTGTTCATTGAGGGCGCTTTAAGCAGTTCGGGAATGCTGGTATGTGGCGTGCTGAGCCAACTTGTTCATCGTCATATTTCACATCATTCCGCCTGATTATATAAGTTGGCGGGGTTTGAAAGTGATGCTACTCCTGTAGTATTTGGTATTCCTACAGGCACAGTGGGAACGTCAGTACTGAAACATATTAGTGAACAGTCTGAGTAAGGTATCACTGTCCCGAGTCTTTGTCTTGATGGCATCGCATTGCTAATTATATATAACTAATGGTCCACGGCATGCCCACTTCAAGATGTCCGAGTCATAGTGAGAGATATGCCCAACCGACCTTCCCTAGATTGTTTCACTGCTTCAGCTGTCAGCGTCATTAAAATTCTGGTGATTGCTGGACTGGGAAGGGTTTGGCGATAACTCAGACCGGCAGCCAGAGTCCGAGTGGGAATATGACTTGTCATAATGAAATTCAATATCAACAAGTGAACAAACAAACTCAAACAAACTATCTGATAGAAGCACCATGTCCTTTCGAAAAATTCATTCATTCAAGCATCCCTGCCCCCGGCCCGGGTGCTGCCAGTATGAGAAAATAGTATAGGCAACGCCGCACCGTCCGTTACCCTGGAGTATGAATGTTTTCTTCATCTTCGTCGGCAGCCTGCACTCGTACCTTCCCTTTCCCTTTCCCCTTCGCCTTCCTTCTCATCTTCGCGCGTCCCTCCTTCATAAAAGCCTTGCAAACACTGGTGTGAAATATGTAAGCAGCACCCTCAGACATCCCGATCTTCTCCTCGTAGAATTGAATACTAAAATGTGCTGCTGCCACCAGATAAAGTATGCCATGATCCTTCAGCTTATCCATATACTGCGGGAACTCCATAGCAGGGTAGCGAGCGTGGATGATTGCAAGGACGTCGTGAATACCTTGCGGTGGTTGCCAGTCATCATCCGATTCTTCGTCACTCTCCATGTAGAGTGCATACGTCCGTTTGAGTGGTTTAGGGTCTTGGTTTTGTTGCCCGAAAGGTGCGCCGTTACTAGAAGCCAACATGTCGCTGATAGCAGGTGAGATATGAACGTGATTATGGATGACGGGTGGCATAATCTCGGTAGGCACGCGCTGAAGTGACGACGTAGTTCGTTCCTTCCGTGTCTTCCGAAACTCGTCAAAATGAGGTGTGCTAGGTAGTGTAACATATATGGCATTGTCTGGATCACAAGTTTCATGCTAAAATTCGTAAGACTATGTAATATGACGCTTGCAAGCAAATACGTACCAGATATTTCGCCCATTCCTGCAGGTCTCGGGTGCACAATGGATAGTGTGGACTCGTGTCTGGCTGTGACGTATCTACCCAGCAGAATGCGGCGTCCTCTCCTAGTTGATGTTCGGAGCAACGTAATTTGCTCCGGACAATCTGTAACTCTTGCATATAGTGCAGAAGTAATGGTTCAGATTCTATCTTCTGATCCCCTGCAGGACGCCGTGGCATAATACTTTCCTGCTGTTCTGCTGACTTTCCCTTAACCACAGGCTTCTGCAAGTGTCAAATGTCACCGAGATGTAGTGTGGGCAGCCCGCAGTGATAACTAAACCACTTACGGTATTGACGATTTCAATAGCAACATTCTTCTTTTTCCGCCCGGACATCTGCTCCCGTGCAGCTCTGAAAGTGCTACTGATATCTTGCGAGTTCAAAAGCCGGTGGGGTGGGTCCATGCGGCGGGCTGTAGACAAGCGCCAGCCCAAGTTTTCGTACGTCTTTGGGACGTCCATGGTGGCCCTCATGGAGTCCAACATGTCCAGGGGACTCAGATCTGATTCGGAGTATGAACGGCCCACATATGTGGTACATTTATTGGTCTCCATGCTATTCAAAGGAATCCGAAATTCGACTACGATAGTGTAATCAGGATGAGCATCCGCGTTGTTCAGCGAGTGCGATAGAAAGTCACCTTTCTTTTGCTCGGGCTCGAGCCCCGGCTTGGTAGGATTCACTTGGGAGCAGTTCAAATTAAAAGCCTGCGTGGGCACGGGGGGCAGAGTTATTGACATCATGCACTGAAATGATGGAATGGAGACGCTCGCCTCCGAGCCTTTATATTCTAGTCAAACGGTGTGGCCATAATTTACCCTCATGCTTAATAGGTTAACTCACCAAAGAGGAGACGGGTAAGTTCCAAAAAAGACTTGACGAACAACTTTGTTTACGCGACCCTGACACTAACGCTGTCAGGACTTTGACTGAGTGATTCGGACCTAGTAATAGGCGCCGTCACTCTTCCGAATATCCTAAAGCAGGTGTATATAACACACAGACTAGGGTGAGCGTCGATACCGAGCCGGTACTGATGAATGTGAACGTAATTCCAGCGTACTATGATGACTGACTCCGCTTGTGCCATGCATGAAGACTCGGATGTGGCCAGATGACGGCTGCCGCTGGCCATGCAAAGGCTCGGAAGACCAGGAGTCATGATGGTCACCTGTGCATGCAAAAGAAAGCTAGATCCGGAGAATCTTTGAACGTCTCAGGCTCGCGGTTTGAGTGCGACCTGATATTTCACCTTGCTTGCGCCATCTGACAAAATCTGACACCAATAATATACAATAATAAATATCAATAAACATTCAATGTGGCTGTATGTCATGACTCAGTACGTGGGTTTTGGTAATTTGAAATAATCAAAGGTTTGCAGTCAAGACATCGCAGCCTCATTGGTGGCGACCTCGTATGTCCATACCCCATAAACTTACCCTTACCGATGATCATGTCCATTTGGGCATCATTTGACTATGTGGGTGCAAGTAAACTTATGCGCTACTGCAGGCTATAATCATAATTTGGTCTTGATAACGAATAATTGACAAGCAATGTCACGGTATACTCAAGATTCAAGCATATCTGCCTTTAATTTCCTGAACAAATCCCTCCATAGTATTGAACTTTACTCCTAAATTGATTAATCGTGGATCAGGGATAGCGGTATCCGGGTATAGTCCAAACTCGGACTGGAAAGCATACTAACAAAATATCATCAGCGTCAAGATGTCAATCATACCGAACAATACCGACCATGTCGTCCATTTCCTGCGCAACATGTGAGCACATGGGCTACATTAGAGAGAGAGAAAATATTTGCAGACCTGCATTCCCGTGGTCTGCGAGGACACAAAAGACACCGGTTTCCCCAGCGCTGATGGTAGCAGTAAGATTAGATCAACAGAGTCCTGCGTTTTGACCACATACCCTGCTGGAGGATCGATGCAAATTGAGTGTACTTCAACTTTGCACTGACGGCATAGAACGTGCGGGAGAGAACCTCTGATTCAGGATCTTTGTAGTGCTTGAGAAGCGCTAACGCGCACTGGCCAAGGTCCCGCTCGACCCACGTAAAATACTGAGGAGATTGAGCGTCATATCTGGCTACGGTTGCTTCCAGGCGATCGGAATCTAGCACGGGCGCAAGAATATTGTACCTGCCACAAAGTTTACATCAGCTATGCGTAGGAAAGCTTTAATCCAGGACGTCTTACTTCCAGAAATTCTCCGAAAACCAGCCTTAAATGATGAGTGTCAACTACTCGAAAGACGCCCAAAATGACATAATGAGATCGTCTCCGCTGTTCAAGAATCTATAGATGGGAAATATGGAAGATGGCATACACGTCAGACCAGCTTCGTTGTTTGGTCGAGAGCACGATCCTAGAGGTCCAAGGAAAATGCTGGGACCATCCACTGCTTTGGTAGATCCAGGCTGCGTCAAGGCAGAGGAAGGTGTCGCTGTAAGCAACGCGACTTGGCTATGTAACATGACAGTCGGGGCAAGGTACAAAAACAACGAGAGTAGGAGCGCCGTGAGCATGAGCACAGGGGTGAAGTACAGGATGGTGCCTTTTGAAATGTCGGCTAGCATGGTTGAAGTAGTTGTGTAAAAGTATTGAGTTGAAAAAATGAATGTAGCGAGAGCCTGCTCGAATGTCGCGGGACCGTGCGCGATAGAAACTAGGTGGACCGGTGAGAGAAGGGGACTGGAACGTACTTTTCCATAGTTTGGAGATCGATCTTATGTACCGCAGCAGGTATCATATGTCGATTCGGTAGCCTGTAGGACAAAGTGCAAAAACAAAGAAATCGCGCTCAGTGCAACGCAATTATAAATTGTTGCCTAGGCATTTGCCTTTTGTTATGTGACTCGGATATAGAGCGAGGAATGGAAGCATCGTCGAAAGGTCGAGACCGAAATATCGTTCGCATGAAATCATCCGGTCAATGGTACCGACCGGTCATATTCGTGCGTCTATCGAACAAATAATCACAAATAGACGGCGTCTGTCAGAAACTCAGAAATTTCACCGATCGCACAAGTTCAGTGCAGACCTGGTCTGCTGGTGCATGCAATGGAAATCGAATCACAGGTCATTCTGCCGAGAGAGCTTGATGATCTCTCGTCTTTCATTCAAGAAAAGCCCGAATCATTGGCAACTGCCACTGCTGAGCTACGAGCCATAGCTCTCCGTGCAACCAAATTCATATTCGATCTTGGTGAGCAGATCAAACCCAATTCAATATCCGCACATGATGCAGCCGGGCTGAGTAGTTCATAGCTTTGCGGTCGGAACCTGCCTCTCTGCCTCATATTGAGAACCTTCTGTCTTCACTCAAACAATCTCAAGCACCACAGACGAGATCACAGACTCGCGCTAATGCCAAACGGAAGAGGAGTCCAAGTCCTGTACTGGAATCCCCGAAGAAGGTCACTATAAAAAATACACCACTACCCTCACTTTTTATCGAGGATATGAATGAAGGTCAAATTTGGCAGCAGCTGGACCTTAGGGCTGCACCTCTTTGCAGTAATCTTCTGCTGCTAGAGGGCGAGACTGAAGATGACATGGAATTACCAGACGGGATGTACGACGATCAGGAGGACGAGGAAGGTGACGAGGTATGAGAAGAAAGCGAAGATTCTGAAGAGATAGAGCACACGGACGATTCTGAAGAAGACACTGGTGGGTCAGAAGAAATGACTGACCTTCGCGAGGAGCTGTCCGAAGACGAGGAGGACGATTCAGATCATCATCCATCTCTTCTTGACGTCGTCAAAGTAAAATCCTCTGTAAAACGTGCAGTCGCAAAGAGACCCAAATCAGACCTTGACGACGATTTCTTCAGTATGGACGCATTCAATCGTGAAACGGAAGAGGCCGAAGCAACTGCTGTTTCCCGTGGTCAACTACGACGGAAATCGGATGACGATGACGACGAAGGTGACAGTATTGATCCCTTCAGGCCAATAGATGACGTCTATGACTCTAATGACAATGGTTCGGAAGACGGCGCAGGTATGCAGTCTTGTACTCTTTTTGTCACGCGTAACTCACATAACACGCAGAACCGCTCTACAAAGATTTCTTCGATGCTCCCAGGGGCTCCGGTTCGAAAGCTATTACGAATACTTCTTCCTCGAAGTCGAAAGTGCGATTTAGTGAGCAGGCCAGATTCCAGTAAGGCCAGTCATATTCTTGTTGGTATCACTTATTCACAACCTGGCTGCAGATATGACTACTTATGAAAAACGTATGGCAGCACTGCAATTACAGATCAAGGAGCTCGAGGCGGAGAATGTTGCTAAGAAGGACTGGGTATTGATGGGGGAGGCCACGTCGAGATCTCGACCTCAAGATTCTTTGCTGCAAGAAGATTTAGAGTTTGAACGAACGATGAAAGCGGTGCCTGTCATCACTGAAACTGTGGTTCAAGGTCTGGAAGAGCGAATAAAAGCTTGCATAAAGGATGGCCGATTCGACGATGTCGTGCGGATTCGCGCTATCGACGATAAACCTTTCCTTCCGTCACGATTTTTTGAGCTCCAGGACACCAAATCTTCCCAGTCACTTGCTCAAATCTACGAGGATGAGTACGTCGTCGCACAGAACGGCGGTACGGGAGGTGACGACAGAGACGGTCGGCTCAAGAAGGAGCACGACGAAATTACAAAACTCTGGGATAGTATATGCAGCAAGCTAGATGCACTTTGCAACGCGCATTACACTCCAAAAGCGGTGATACTGACGCGTGTCTACGCAATATATTTCGACTAGTTTAAAGGGCAAGTAGCAATCTGATCGACTAGATTTTGCAATCCATCCTTTTGCTCTGGAGTCATATTATTGAACCTGTCAATGAGTGTCGTGTGGTAATCCTGATTGTTCTTAACCCACAATTCGGTGTCGATCACTGCACCTGTTTTCCGCTCTTCTAAGGCCCAGCGAAAGAGAATAGCTGTCATCGTGAATAATGGTCGCAACTTCTCGACACTGAGCGCGGATACATCCGGCGGGCCAGCCTGAGGCGATGGAGCCGGGTGGCCGCTAATGTAGCGATGATACTGGTACCTGCTGTCATACAGCAGATACCCGATGTAAGCCATGACGGCTGGGTTGCCAAAGGGAATGACAATTGTGCGCCCATTGATCTGACAGCGTTGAAATGAGATCATCGATCTCGAGAGATTGAACACATGACTTACCGTGAGCGTGACGTCGAGAAATCTCGAATCATCTGCTGTTAAGTGCAATACTCGATCCCCGCGGTTGATAAGATGCGTGACGGCCACCTGATAGGTTTGTAGGTCGAATCTAAAAAATACAAATAATCTTGCGACGTCCTTCATGTCACTTCGGATGGAATCAACTATGTTTGCGAGGCCCTTTTCCTGGGAACGACGAAAGTCTTGGGCCCAGTCGCGAAGTTCCGCTTTTCAATCGATCAGTGGTATCGTCGAATCGGAAGTTTAGGAGAGCATACCTGACTGATTGTTGATTGCAGTTTCCCAAGACCTTTTCACCATAGAAGCGATTTCCGCCGTTGTAGGTAACAGCGATTCGTTGAAAACGGTAAATCTCATCTGCTCTCGAAGAGCTGATGTAAAATCGCCAGTGTTTGAAGGTATAAACGTATAATCCTGAACAGGTTTCTCGTCTTCGTCTGAGTCAACAATAGTTTTGGCCTTCATGAGGCGCCGGCGGGATGTACGCGATTTAACTTTAGTGACACGTTCCCGCTTGGGAGCCATGGGAGTTTTATTTGGAATCATGGGCTGGGTGAGCTCGGGCACCGTCAGAGCGGGCCGCGGCGATGGCTCATTCAAGTTTGGCATGGGGTTATCATTGAAGCTGGGGGCGAAGTGTTGATCTTGCGATGGCCACTCTTTGGGCCATACAGCGCTAAAGGAAGTTGGAATGACTTGGAGACTCGGGGATTGAGGAGGCAGGAGCTGATGATGATTAGCCGATGACGGCTGACCCGTTGGCATGACAGGCGGCGGCGGGAACAACGAGTGATGTTGATATCCTCTGTGATGATGGTCATGGTAAGGATGATCATGTCCGAGTCCCATCATCATGGTTTGGGGGGGCCACTGCCCACTGGAACCAATCATCCATGGGAGCTGATGATGAGGATTGTGACCAACGGCCCCAGGATGAGTACTACGGCTTGATCCAAAGTTGAAGAACCGATCAACCTCGAGGGCGTCCGACGACACACCCACTGGCGATTCACTGAGGTGTTCAAAATCGGTTAGCAAGTCACTACCACGACGGTCACTGCGGTTGTGCTCGGTGGCAGAGGCCGCGTTCATCGGAGTCATCACGGCAGCGACTCAGCGGATGGTGGAGATAGCTAGCAGGACTCGAATTTGGAATTTACTCATCTTAAACTTTGCCAACCCAGACTCAAGGCAGGCTCGTGCAGCAACACGTGAACTTCGTAGTATCAATTGAGTGAATTGATTATGTTCTGTAGCCCCGATAGGAACTGTGCCAAATCCAATTATGCAATGAACAAACAAAGAGACAAACTCACTCTTCGGACAAGCTACAACCCTCATCGAGGTTCCCATGATGGGATTCGGCCAAAGATACATCCACAAGCTCCTCAGACACTACGCGAGCATTTACGAGTCCGTATCCCATGGTACGCTGCCACTCTGAGAACTTGAGGCAACATTAACCGTCGTACTAATGTCAGACAGCTTGCACGTACTATCTATGTGGTGCGTGCAAGTACGGCGATAGATGTTGCAACGAGCATCCAGCGGATAGAGCACAACAGAGTGGTGTTGGTAGTACGTTGTCCGGGGAAGATACCTTTGGACTGGCTCCTTCCAAGGAATGCCCGATATTGAGTTTCGTGATGTACTTGACTGTTGTATCTGACGAGTCAACGACCTTGGTTTGCCCATCCAGATTTCTGATCCACTACCTCCCCTGGGGTTTCGAGCAGTATGTTGATCTTTCTGTAAGTAATTATTTCCGTTCACCTCGTGCCTGAACTAACTTTTTCTCCTCACTCACCACTGATACCAATCGATCGCTTTCACAGTGGACGTGGCCGCACCCCGACTATATTGTCCCCTGGGTTTTTCCAGTCAGCCAACTTGACATAATCCGAAAACCAGTATTTCTTGCGCCCACAGTCGTCGAATGGCCTCGGCGGCTACGCGTTTTATTACTCAATATACCGCTCCCTCATTCGTTTCCTCGGAGCGGACGACAAATTGGTCGTCACGTCCGATCTCAACACCAACTTGATCACCGCTTGGAATCAGATGCTCGTGACCAACGACTTCTTGAATCCAGACACCGGCCTCGCCGATCCGAAGCCTATATTCGGAACAAGCAATTTTGATGTTTTCCGTTGGCCCAGTTTGGCGAATGGCACGTTGAGATCCGCATGGCATCTTATATCACGTACCTGCTTATGCCAGGGGTTCCATTGGTAGGAGCTATACTCGAATGCCTGCCCCTGCAGTACTTACCTTTTACAGATATACTATGGCGAGGAGCAGAATTTCTACTTGTACGACTCCACAGTCTCAAACTATCTATCTCTTCGGGTAGGTCACTAACTCCTTGAAGTGATTACTTTTTTCACACTGCTACTTTCAGCCGTCAAGCTATGATGAGCAACAAGGCTTGGTAGCGCCACGGGTGCTACAAAGTTAGATCCGTCCAATACCCTAACATGCCGCTTCAGTCCACCTTAATGGGATGTGATGACGATTGGAACTCGCTCGATCATTTTGATCCGACGACGGACATGCGTCGCCTACTAAAACATTTCTTGTACCCCGGAACCACTTACAACGCCATCCAAGATGGCTTCGAACTCGTACAGCTTGGGAACTGGACCTACTTCGTCGAGTTCCCAGGTTCAAACAGCACCGCAACCGAATTGGGGCTCTGGTCCCGTATCACGCGCAGGTATGTGGGTGGAACGACAGTGAGGAACTTGCGTTCTCCATACGAGAACTATACGCTCGTGGATTCGGGATTGTCATATCATAATAACGGAGAGGGACCATGGTATGTGGTCCATCTGCTGCTGCGCAAGGGCGAAGCGAACAATGTCATGGTGTTCCCCGAGTCTGATTATGTACGCAGATTTCAACTACACTGACGGCCGGTACACGTTCACGCACCGTGCCTATGGAGCGGATATGTCTAGGTACTTAGGCGACTTCACACTGAGTTGGTCGAACTGAACGAGTTGGGAGAATGTCACAACCAACGTCCGCTGGAACAATTTTGTACAATTTGCATGGAAAATCTAGAGTAAGTACATCTCGTATCACCAATCTCTGCAGCCGCTGAATCACACTTTCGGTATGCTAGACTCTTCGATGCTCTTTTCGCCCGGTCTGAAAACTCGTAAGTCTTCAGATTTTTTTTAGTTTGAAAACGCCTTACCTATATGTACTTAACGCGCGCGAACCCTGAGGCCTAGGATATATTCCAGCTCGGACATCTCCAGTTCGAACATCCGGCGCTCCCTTGCAACCCATAGGATCACCATCGCCCGTACGTCATCTGGCCAGACCGGGGGTAACGGATAGGGAGGGATCGGCAATTCCGGGCGATACACCTGCTGGTGCACGCGGCCTCGCGCGGCAGCCCAAACGACATACATCAATTCCTGAACGATGTCAGCGTGTCAGCTTTAAAATAAGTATATCACTTACCAACTGCCTGTCCGTCAACATAAATCTAACCTCCCGAGGCCTCGGTACGTGTTGGAGAAGGTGTCGAGGAATCTGTTGGTTATCGATTATCGGTGAGTAGCCGATGTCAGAACATCAACGACGCACCTCATGATTTTGGTTTCCGACTCCATTAGCGTTGTTGCCGTTGTCGTTGTTCATACTAGTACTAGAGTTTGTAGATAGGAAATCGCACCGAAAGCCAATGAATACATACCTGCGTTATGGAATGATCGTGTCCAGGAGAAACATCCCGATTTGGATAGGGATATATTTAAAATGTCTCCGGCATTTTCCGGATGAACAATCGATTTGGGTCTGTTGTAGCGATTCACATTTATGAGGCCAAGTTCTCGTCGTGCACTCCACGAATCGTTCGCAGTTAGCACCGGCCAAACCCTTGCTTGGTGAATTCCTGATGTCACATTTACTGTCGCATAGTCACCAGCGCTTGGAACATGATACTATGTCAGCTCGCATCAAGAAGGTCAGTTCTTTGCACTCACTCCGAGAATACATAGTAACCAAGACAGAGCACTACGAATATCAGAAGAAGGCTGCAGCGTGTGTAGGTGAGTATTATCATACTCGTTCTGTGACTTTTACTCACTGGCGTCTTCTTTCGATGGTGCAAGCCAGCCGCGATGGCACCGAATTGCCTTTCACTTCCCCACATTGCAACTCCTTAATCGTCCGTCTCGGGGATACTTGTCGAAAGGCTGCAGCGTGTGCAGGTGAGTATGACCATAGTACTCGTTCTGTGACTTCTACTAACTAGCGTCTTTTTTCGATGGTGCAAGCCAGCCGCGATGGCACCGAATTGCCTTTCACTTCCCCACATTGCAACTCCTTAATCGTCCGTCTCGGGGATACTTGTCGAAAGGCTGCAGCGTGTGCAGGTGAGTATGACCATAGTACTCGTTCTGTGACTTCTACTAACTAGCGTCTTTTATCGATGGTGCAAGCCAGCCGCGATGGCACCGAATTGCCTTTCACTTCCCCACATTGCAACTCCCTAATCGTCCGTCTCGGGGATGCTTGTCTTCAGTGAAAGGATGCGGATGTGACGTGTCCTGGGCGCCTGTGACTCGGACTACAGATACCGCTTACGAGTAATATCTAGAAATCTCCTCACGTCAAAGGTTCTTGAATTTTGAGGGTAGTTCGGAACAATAGGCTTGCAGTCGTCGTGGTGAGTGGCGAACTCTGAATCAGTCGTCACACTGCCGAGTAGTGCAGTACTAGTTGTGGACTAGTGTCCGGGAAACACATGCGACTTGGCGTGCAGGCCAGTTACTTGTAGAATCTATATATACCTCCACTTAGTGCAGACAGGTCCGGTTGGTTATAACTTAGCACCTGTAGTACCACCTGCCGCAGCATGTCACAATTTCGTGACGAAGTCCAATGCATGCTGACAGTGCCAAAGGGACATTCTAGGACAAAGTCTTGGATGGGGTCTTAATTCAAAGCATAAATAAGAAGAGACAGGAACGCGTCAACAAGGTTGAGATACATGTGCTGCCATCCCTTTCATGCAGTGACGGCGGCACATCACAATTTTGATACTAAGTCTAATACTAATATACATTTGCTGACCGGTGCTAAACGTACTTCCCACAAGAAGGTCATGGATGACCTTGGATGACATCTTAATTTATAAGAAAAAAGTAAATGGTAAACGACGTTGAGAAAAGTGTGCTACTACACCTCATGTGTTGCGATAGCGCCGTGTCACAACTTTGCGATGGACTTGAATAGCATTATACATTGGATGAGCAGTGCCAAAGCTACTTACCACGATAATGTCTTGAATAGAAACGTAATTCAACAAATAAATAAGGCAAAACGACAATGCTTGAAATAATTGGCACAAGCAAACTATCACCCCCCATCTATTGCAATGGCGCAATCTCACAACATCGTCGTGGACTGCTCGCGTTACTCTACATTTACGGATATCGATGGCTATGTATCTACAAGTCAAATTTCTCGCAGTATATATGATATTATTTAGCAGGAGCAGAATTGTATCTTTCTATAGTTCTCACGGCTACAATATCAAGGAAACATCAATTCACTGATGTTATTGTGTGGGTCCTTCATTCTTGCTCTCGAAAGGCTTGAAGTTTGAAACACCCCGGTCATCGGTGGCGGCGGCCCTATACTCAGTACTTGGCAGTCCTTGAAACACTTAGTAGATTCAGGGACTTACGTTTTACGTTTCTACAAAGAAGTTTTCATGATCAACCCGGCCGTTTCCGACGTACGCCTCTTCAGACTGAAATTCGCCATCCTTACCAACACCATCACCAGAACAACTGCCTCCTTGTGAGTGCATTGCTTGATAAAACAGAGCGTCCCTGGAATCTCCATACAGACATCTCAGTCGGCCCTCCCCTCCAGCGCGACGAGAGTGGAATGTGCAACCCTTTCTGCTGATGGAACAGTTGGAACAGTGCTAGTCACTGCCAGTGACAAAGATGTATATGTATGTCATATTCAGGCTATCCTCGAAAGGTTGACCTTAAACCTATTTTCCATTCACAATGTGAGTTTAACTTTTCAATAGAGAGTCGAGATCACTTTAGCTGAACCTCCCACTCGCAGGTCGCAGATGAAAAGTTATTAATAAACTTATCTTTTTTTGTACATAACTAGTACAAGTGCTGAATATTCTACGACATGAAAGACTCAGCTCAGCTTGAGGATCCTCGTCCGATCGACGATACCAGATAGTGTAGTGTTCAAGTGTGTCGCCATCTCACTACTGACCTCAAAAAGGCTTCGTCCTCCGTGACGCGTCACGACATCCGAATAATGATGAGACACTGCAACTCCAACGGCCCTCAAGGCAAAATTTTATTTCGCGTCACGGCCGTAGTCTCGGAGGAGTTGCTACAGTAAGGGAAAAGGGGGTACGTCTTTCTTACGCCGATCTTCCACTCGCTGCGATCCGATGTTATCTCCGCAAGCATTATATATTGCTCCGCGACCTACTAAGCGAGGCCAGCCGTGGCACGCCCAGACATCCTCTACATTCACACCACCTCATGCTACCACAACCACAGTGCAGCAGCCGCGCAGCCACATCCCGTAATCTATGATCGACAAACCCACACGGTAGACTGTATTCATAGAGACGTGGCACGCTGACTACTATTTTCACTTTTCATCCAAGTTCTTTCATTTGTGTTCTTAGCTCATCGTAGATATCATTCGCTATGCCATCAGCGCCTTCCATATCTCATCTTACCGCGACAGCCTGCTTTGTTCGCGCATCGCACATTTTGCATTCCAATTGCAGATTATCTTGATTGCGTGGTAGCTCAGTTTAGTGCGTACATTTTCCAAAATATCAGTCTTTGCATTTTTCAAACGGAGCTGGGCATGTGCCGGTCGTTATGCCAGAGATGGAGGTGCATGCGCGTGGCGAGATTCGCTAGGACAAACACCTGCAAACTGTATCTTGGAATTTGCAACAGAAGTTAGAAGTACATACTTTTCAAAAGAGTGATGCAAGGACCGGGTGTGCGCAATATCAATGAAGTCTTGACTCACGGAGACCACATGCATAGTAGAATACGTTATGCTTCACCAGGACGGCGCACAGATGCCCCTTGGTTGTCCGCCAGCTCCATATGACATATATATATATATATATATATATATATATAGAGAGAGAGAGAGACCAGTCAGGACCAGTCCTAGGGAGAGAGATCATCAGTCAGTGTGTATATGTAATTTATGCTCCCAGTTCCCGGTAACATACCCAGTTGAAGAGAATAAATGACATGGAGTACCAGACGCCGCTCAAGTAACAGGCGGTAATGCCTGGAATCGCGCTAGTCATATCTATGCCAGAGGAATGAATGTGTGAATAGTAGTGGGGAAGGCCCATGAGAGCACAAACACACGAGGCGTTTGCTGTAAAACGAAGGCCGGTTGATATGGCAACAATAGCCTAGCTGATGGATCAACGTTAACCATGAATTTGGGTGTGGTCAAGGCATGGGACTCACAAAAAGGGTGGTTAGTATGGCTACGCGTACGATTCGATTGTTGTTCCAAAGCGCATATGTTCTGAGCACAAAAAAACCTCGAGAAATCAGATTAGGAGCATGTGCATGTCGCAGGAGAAGGACAGATGATACATTCAGAGCAAGTGACCGGTATCACTGCCAAACCTGTAAGAGGAAAGAGCGACGCTCAGCCAAGAAGTGCAGCCATTGAACAAGTACCGTGCACGTACACGAGTAAATATTGATCAACATCCCGTATTTCTGGCGAAGTCATACAGTTACTAAGTATCGTTCATCAGTGGGTAAATCCAACTGCACGCTCACATACATTGAGGTCCTCGTGCGGTACGAAGGCCACTAAAGCACAGCATTTTAATTCATTATCAGGGGCATGTGTACTTGTTTGGAATGAACGCACTATATAGGCCCATAGTCATGGAGAAAAGGGGGACATATCGTGCAGATATATAAAGGGCTTTTAAGTTAGTCCGGCGCGACTGGAGCAGGAATGTCCACTTTGAACAAGATATTATCAATATCCAAAGCGAGGCGTATCGCGGAAGTGCATTGCTTACCTCTTCGTGAATCAAACAGACATAACCATAGGTCTGGGTCAACAAGTTTCACTCGACAGACAGCGGTAGATTGGGACTAACCTACCCAGAGTGTAGCCAGCGCCACTGAGTTGTTAAGTTAGAACGAGGGAGAAGCAGTTCAGACCACATGCATTGTATATGCACTGGTATTGGTATCTGTTATCACTTTGCCCTCGCTTGAAGAAAGAGACGCACCACTGAGTAATGCAGACTCCAGTTTGCCGTAAGTTGGACATCGTCAGCCAAAGGATCCATCTACTTTGATTGAGAGGTAGAATAAACGGGTTTCGCACACATATCATGCAACTTTCTTATATCTGATGAACGAGCTAAAAACCCATCAAGATGCAAGTGTAAATATTTGGAACACCAAATACTTAGCCTAGTCATGATCACGATGGAGCGTTTCACCGGCTGATTTATGTGAAGTCGGCCACGCAGGATGGGTGTTGATAAAAGGGTACGGCTCAATTTGTCGCTGTGTGTAGCCAGTGAATACTGTATATTAGATCCGAACATGAAGTCGAAACGTGTGCTCAACTTGAATATCCTTAATTCTTGCTTTTGAAAGGCTTAGAGTTTGAAACATCATCAGTCCTTGAAACATGCAGCCACCTCAAATCCGAGGGACTTACGTTCAACCGAACAACCGGCCATCTCTAATGTACGCTTTTTCAAACGTGAGATGGCTGTGATACGCGCACGATCCTGATATGAAAGCAGACCGAAGGAAACTAACACGTTCTTGTCCATCGAAACTTATAAGGGGGCAGATGTGGTAATTGGGAATAGAGTTTCAGAATGAAGAACGAGAATGGTTGAACGTTCAAAGGGCTTCAGAGCTTCAACATGCTTTCGAATCTACCTCTGATTTTGTGAAGCCGCGTCACACGCCCAGTGACATCGTCTACTATAAGATTTTGCTTCCGATGATTCGAACACTTTGCGGTATCGAACCATAATATTCCTCGCTATTTGTTTGACTCGGATTGAGAGGATGGAGTCTTCGAAAGAGATGGACACGGCTATCATGACGAGGAAGGAATATTTATGATGCGCCGGAAGATCAACCTTAGCTGCGAGATGCAACCTTAAGCTTGAAGCTTTGAAGCTTGACGGGGAGGTGATAATGTCATCGTGTGTTTCGGTCACGAGTTGTTTACTCACGCGTGCAAATTCAATTCTAGATGCTCTCACGGAGTCATTCAAGAACAACCAACATGATCCTATTGTTTGTTAGCCCCCACAATTCTTGACTTGGGGCATGTTCTCGCTTCATAAGATTGAGTCATCATCGTACGCAGTGATTCATTCCAGAGTCACCGATCCATCCTTGGGGTTTAGGTTTAGCGATCTGAAGTGTAGACGGACATTATGAGTTCGTCACTAATGTAGTGCTACGGTATCAGACGTGTCAGTGAAGTACTTACAGTTCTGTGGATAAACACGTTACAATATGAATATGAGAATCCTAGCCCAGAAACTGCTCTAAAGCAACGACTCTATACCCATGCTGACGCTCATACCCTGCAATTATCCAGATTGAAGACCATGAGATCCTCTGCGCCAATCTCTACTAGTTGGTCCATGGTATTTGCAATGTTCTTCTTCTCAACCATACTACTGATCGCAACCCAACCTTCCGCTTCGAGAGGACTGATGGTGGGTGCTCTTCTTCCAGGCGTAATAGCTGCTGCTTGAGATATCGATTGCCTACGAATGTTATATTCGCAGATAACATATTTCGCCGCCGCCAGGACTCCGGCTATTCGGCTTGCCATGAGATCGATCAGAGGTGCATGATGGGCACGATGAGGAGCGTTTGATTTTATGAGTACTGCCTCTGTTTGAAGTACTGTCGCAATGGCGTGCAGACCGGCTGCTCGCATCGTATCTCCAGATTCTAAGATATTGTTAGATCTTTCTATGCCTGGCTCGGGATGATAACATACCAACAAGATCGACTATTCAATGACCAAGATGTGAGCATCATCGCAATCTGTCATTCTAACGCGCGACTCACCTATACCATCCGCGAGTCCAAGAGCACAGGCTGCTTCTACACTCCCGCCTACATACTGGATCTTGGTTTTCTTATCACCAGTGAGGTTCAATCGCTCATCGATCTCAGCAAAATACGCCCCCGCGATGACATCAAAACTTGTAACCACGCGTTTTCCGGCAAGATCTTCGACCGATTTGAATGGCCCATGTTCTGGAGTTTGCACTTGCAGAGCGCATTTTCCGAACCCCAGTCGATGAATCTCCGTTATCTGATCTTGCATTCCAGCCTCAAGGATGACATCGTGGCCTGTTATGCCAAGGTCAACGTCTCCATTTCCGACAAAGGATGGTATGTCTGCTGCTGGAAGGAATACGCTGCATCAGAGTCAGATTCGGTCAGATGTAGGATTGGAACCGGAATTTTACAGAGCCATAGGGTGATTCATCACTAGGCAGACGTCAAGCCTGTTGTGTCTCCGGAATTGGATGTCGGCGCCTGTAGGTTGGTTTGCATATCACTCAGGTATTAAAGGAGGAACACACCGGAGAGTAACTCGAGACATTTCTCGTGCAGCCGTCCTAGGGTGGGTTAGTACTACTGACGAACTGTAATCAAGATGAATTTGACCTTTTTTTGGAATTGCGAACAGCAGTCGGCCATCAAGCAGGTCCTTGTCTGATCTTTTGTCAGCTAGAATGATATCCAGTGCGCAGAAGACTACTTACTCATATTGAGCTGTACCAAGCTGCAAGATCTGCGATCGTTTGAGTCAAGGTTTACGCAAACAACCCCGCTTTATCAAAAGCAGCGGGTAGTATTGTGGGAAAATATAATTAAACTGCCTACTTACGCGGCCTGGGAGTCAGACTGGACCCGACCGTCTCTATTAACTCTTTTGACCACCAACTCAAGCTTGCCCACCTTCTAAATGACCATACCTGACATGGACTCAGTCGCTCATCCTCAGGAGAGGCGGTTCAACCCTTACACAGAAAATGGTGGTACAATCCTCGCTATTGCCGGTGCAGATTTCAGTGTTATTGCTGGCGACACACGACAGAGCGAAGGATATTCAATTCAAACGCGATATGCACCAAAGGTATTTCGATTGTACGCGTGTCGTCACTTACTAGTTTGTCTCTTTCTCTAACTTTTTCTTTCAAGAACCGATCGCGCAGTGCTGGCTGTGAACGGGTTCGCAGCAGATGGCAATATGTTTGTGAAGAAAGTGAAGCAACGTCTGGAGGTTCGTCGTTCCTTGATGTGATTTCACTGTATATGCTTAAGGGGCTACGTAGTGGTACCGTCACGCCCATGCGAAAGATATGCCCCTACGGGCAATAGCAAGATTAATTCAAACGATGCTTTATGGGCGTCGCTTCTTTCCCTACTATGTATATAACATTTTGGGTGGCGTCGAGGAGGATGGTCCGTTCATCTTCATGCTCCACCTTCTTAATTTATTCAACAAGTTTCTCAGGCACTGGCGCCGTGTATTCGTTTGACCCCGTGGGCTCGTATGAACGAGAGGCCTGCCGTGCTGCAGGTGCTGCTCAGTCATTAGTCCAGCCGTTCCTGGACAACCAGGTGAGTATTCACTACCATTCCCATCCTGATGTCGCCCGTGCATTTTGTCTGACGTTGAAACTCCTAGATTTACTTCAAGAATCAACAAGCTGCACCGGGGACCTCGCATCCGTCGCATCTACCACTAGAGACCGTCTTGTCGATAGTAATCGACTCATTCACGAGCGCGACTGAGCGCCACATTGAAGTAAGCCCCATATTCTGGTCATGTAATTTCTCCTAACATCGTGCAGGTCGGTGATGGCCTTGAAATCTTCATCGCACTCGCCAAAGGACGTACTCTACAGGGCATGGAAAGCATCCGGGGTCTGCAAGAGTTAACCGTGACGGAAGATGGCGAACGCTTGTTTGTTATGAGGAGGGATTTGAAGAAAGATTAAATCGCTTGTATTCTATATAACTTTCCCTCGCTGATTGCATTTCTTGACATCGACAGTGAATACATTCTTTGAGTATGTAAAGAATGCAAACGGAAACACCGAGTTGCTGTACTGATCATAAAACCTATGCAGCTGATTCCACAATTAGTACGTGTAAGAATTTTGCGTGACGACATGCCACGACCGTCTGATGGTCTGATCTGCCCGGTTGGGCACTGCGAGCAATTAGGTGGGACGTCAAGCAGTGACTGCAGCATGGTGGCAATCATCGTCGGAAAATTGGCGCCCAATGACATGCTGAAGCTTGTTGGTTTCATGTTGGACTAGAGACGGAGATGAAGACTTACGGTGAACTTGTGGTGAACTAATGTTACCAAACACAGTCTCAGAGAAACCCGCGTTTACGTGAGTTATTCACATGGATGATGGAACCCTCTCCCAGTGTCGGCGATAAAATTATTAAGATGTGAAACAAAGACTGATACCAAACAAGAACAAACAGACTGCTGGACCTCTCACCTCGACACTATCGTCGTTCTCAACGTTCGCTCCCCCTCGTGGTTGTCCCGTAGTCTTTTTCCTCTGCCCCTTCATACCCCGAAAAAATATCAAACGCTGGCATAAAATATCTGAATCTTATAGACATCCTTGATGATGATATTCACTTCCTTACTTTTGCTGCTCGCAACCTCTGCCCATGGCCAGACCGTTTACGATGCAGCCCATAATGTCACCGCCATCACTGGCACCTGGAGCTCTGGCAGCCAGAATGTCGTTACTGGATCCGTGAGTCGTACATTTTGATTATAGTCTACTTTTTCGGCTCAAGTTGGTGTGGTGTCAAGGGCTTTGCTACGCCATCCCAAGAGTCGTTTACATACCCAAGCACGACAGGGATGTCATATTCTTTGTGAGTATCGATAGTGTTTCAATCCTCAATGTCTGACTTGAATCGAATCATAGCACGGACGATGGGTACTACGAGATCGCGCGGTATCGTATGACCAGCAATGGTTTGCTTTTTGTGCTGTATCATGTTTCATGCCGCTAAGGCACTCCTCGCAGGCACCGTACCAACCTGCATCACAGGCGTTATGAACTGGTGTCACGGTACATACGTGCTCGCCTCCAATGGCTCCATCGTCATGACGCCATTCGGCGACGGCTACCAACAAATACAAGATCCTTGTGCCGCCGTCTCCAACTTCATAGAGATCTATAACTACGTTGAGCTTTACGTTCTCTGGAACATATATCAAGATCCGGTCAAGGGGTATACTCTTCAGCTGTACCAGTACGATGGCACACCGTTGCCACCTCAATACCTCATCAGCACTTCACCCAACATGCTCCCAACTCAGGCCCTCCGTAATGTCAGCACAACCACCAGTGCTACCGTCCAAAATGCAGCAGTCGTCAACGCCAATGCTGGGGAGCGCAGATGGGAGTCAGCGGGCATGACAGGCCTGCTTACGGTGATTTCAGGTCTTGGACTGGCTTCTCTACTATTGTAGAATGGGACATGATCACTATACCTCCGCGCCGTCGTCGTATTTTTTATACCTATAACACACGCTTTTTTTGCATTGGACCTTTGGACACATACCTACCTGCAGCGTCATGGATCCTTTTGTCGATGCAATATGGATACCCTGTGATCGACTGCAGCAGACGCTCGTTTGATATGCGTTCTAGTCCTTTGTTTAGTATTACATCCGCCGGCTTGGATAATGAAGACACTTACACGTCACAGGAAGAGTATGGTGTGCGCGTGAACATGTGATGCTGGACAACATGGGCGCCACAACTTTGTATGGCTTGTAAGCTCCACGTTCAAATTGCTCCACAACTTCCTGCTGCGGTTGTCTTTGCCAAAACTAGTTAAGACTCCCCGTTGCCTTCTCCTCCTTGTCTCCGTGTTGCCGCCCCTGGACCCATTAATGAATTAATGATGCTCCGTCTTGCTCCGGGCTTCACGCCGGAAGGAGTCCCCCACTGTGGCATCATGTTTAGCAGCTCTCCTTTCTGTCAACCAGCGAGTCTAAACATTCTCGCTCGGTGCATATCAAAGTCACCGACCCAATTACGGCCGCTGAGCGCGTGTCAACGCAGAGAAACACTCATCGACATTTCACAGGCTCCTTTGCGCCGGACAGACGTGGTGGCCACATCAAAGTTCTATAACATTTTACATACGTCAAACATTTCCCCCCGCTCAAAGACTAAGACACCGTACGCCAGATGGCAGGTCGTCGTCGGGTCTAATTTGAAAGTTCGATACGTGGTGAACTGGCATTATGGGAATTAAAGAAATTGTATTTACCGCTTTGATGGTACTAGGTACATGCACGACGAACAACAAACCAATCCGTCCAGCTGGCCAGACCTTGAGCGAGTCTAAACTCAGGATCTTATCATAGGCTCAGTGGCAGTACATGGATCCCTCACTCGCAAAGGCATCTAATATCGAAGGTTGATAAACGTTCTTGAATTTGGGGTAGGGACTAGAATTGTTGCCTGAACTGGCTGTGCGCTAGTCCGGACGACAGCGTTTCGCTCGGTGTGTTTGTGTGTGGATCACTAGACCTCGCCAACTCCGCTTACTGCGGCCGCCGGCGATCCTTTTTCAAGGTTCTCCTCGGGCTGTCGAATTTACCGGAGGGCTAGTTGAATCTGAAGTTAGTCTAAAACTCACCTTCTTTCTTTCGTTATCATACGGCTACGGTGGCGGTACGTGCATCGTTGGCAGTAATATCATTATTTGATGGAGTGGAGGCCTGGACATTTGCCTGTCCTGGTTGTTTTATATCCTGGGCTGTATATTTCTCGAGGCGCATATCCTGCAGATCTCGCTTAGCAGCTCTACTTTCGGGAGAACTTCCCGGCACTGTTTGCTCAAAACAGTTCGCTTGGGGCGTTCTTTGTAAAGAGAAGTTGCCAAACGAAGCTCGGCCGACGGATCTAACACCCAATATTCTGTGGGTGACCGAAAATATTAATTAAATATACATCCTTCTATGCTCGAGCTAGCCGAATTTCACCCGAAGTCCAGTCCAGCTGGTCGCGGAGCGTATCTGAACTCGCCACTTTCTCAATGTTGAGCCCAGCACGGTGGCAGGACATGAATTACTGGCAGCGATATCGAAAATGCATGCACGTTCTCTTCGTAGAAGGAAGTATGGAAGGTTTCCTGTCCTGGTTGTGCGATACTGCGGCCACACGAGAATTTCAGATTGCGTGAGGGACCGGGGATATCGAATTACAAATATAGACGAGATGGAGTCGATGAAACAACTTAGTTCGGTATTGATACACTCACGGTGAGCGGGCCAAAACTTAGTACATGTGTGCCAACTGTATGGTTGTTTATCGTGCGGTTCATCAATGAGGCATCATTCGGATGGTCCGTTATCGTGCGGTGGTTTGAGACGAGCCGTCAGAGGCGGACAATCGAATGAGCTTATAGTGCCACGGGAAGCAACTGGCGATCGCCGATGCCGAGCAAGTCCGCGCTGGTCTGACAAGTGAACTTCTCTCAATGAGATTGTCATATGAGAGAAACTGCTTCGGATGTCCCCAAAAGTAATGTTGATGATCAGTCGCATTGCCACTACTGGTGAATAGCGTGGCAGGCTGAGAGCGGGGTGATGGACTAAATACGATGACAGCAGCAAGTTGAAGTATACGTTATCATCGGAGTCATTGTTTAACGTTGGGGGTGAAGTCTTGTACGCCGACTTGGAAAGTGTGATCCATAATAAAGGACTTGATTGATTTTGAAATCTAGTGAGAGACCCTAAATATGTAAAACAGATTGGTTTGCCAACTCAACTGAGCCACTGGTGGCGAGGAGGCCCACAGAGATAAGTGAGACTCGATAAGCCTGGGCCTAGAGATAATAGCTGCATTAAATGGAAGAAAATGAGTTCGAAGCAAGGAGCGTTAAGTAGCCGTAGCAGAATAGCCGCCCAATTTCAAGATCGGAACCGGAATGTGACTAATGCACATAAATATGGGAAAGGAGTCACACGCCCGTAAATTGGCGATTACTCCAAGAAGTCGTTTATTTAAATTCTCGTGCCTCTTAATTCTTCCCTTGTCGCCGTTTCCCCTCACAGGCCCCACAATACGCGCAACATATCCTTCTACTGTCATATTCATCGATTTTCTTTGTGCCATTAGACCTTATTTTTCATTGCTGTCAAGCTCAGATCATCGTTCATTTCTACAACACTTTTCCATGACCTCGGGCCTCATCAAATCTCTATCTCCTGCAACAACTACGGCGTCGCTTTCACGCTCCTCCAAAGTTACATCGCAGCATGAGCGCGTACCTCTAGCTTGGGGTTTGCTACCATCCCGGAAATTACCAGATGAATACCAGATAACAGCATCCCACACAGCTTCCGGCTCGGATCTTGACCAGGACATCTCACGGCAACTTATTACAAGCAACAATGAGCACGCACCTCTCTCAGAAAGCGGTGATGTTTCCATGTCACCAGCAATGATGTTCCTATCTGCGTTTAATCCCTCCGCAATCCCACAATCACCGGATGCAGAAGGTGAAATCATTCGCGGCTATGTCCTTGGACCAATCATAGGTTATGGGGGTTTTTCTGTGATTAGACGTGCCTCGTCCTCTTCCGGAGGTGTTGTCGCTGTCAAAATTGTCTGTCGCACCGATTTGGAGAAACAGACAGATCCTTCTTTAGCTAGAAGGCGACTCAATCACGAGGCCCAAATATGGGCTTCTCTATGCCACGAGCACACCTTGCCCCTCTTCTTTTCCGAACACACTCCCTACGCCGACTTCTTCTTCTCTCTTCTTTGTCCCGCGGGATCTCTATATGATATACTTTTAAGGGACGGCCGTCCTGCTCTCCCTCACGATGACGCCGGCATGATGTTTCGACAAATTGTACGAGGCGTACGCTACCTGCACGAAGTAGCAGGCTATGTACACAGGGATATCAAACTTGAGAACGTTCTTGTAGACGAGATGGGTATATGTAGAATTTGCGATTTCGGCATGACTCGCAAAATCGGCGAAGTTGACGGTGATGAACCCCTATCCGATGCAGATAATCACTCTGATAACCACTCTGGTACTCATCGTCACCGTTCCACTTCTAATAGACCTGTAAAATCCAACACATCTTCACACCTCTCAATTTTACGACACCATCGTCCTAGGCGTCATCGTATATCAACTCCTATCGGCGAAAACCCTCCGCCTGTCCATCCATCACATGTTTTCCAGCAAGGGTCTTTACCATATGCATCTCCTGAGCTTCTTCAACCCAAACCTTCACGGTTCAAAGGTGCTAATCCAGCTCAGGACATATGGGCCTTGGGTGTTCTGCTTTATGCCCTTTTGACCGGCCGTCTCCCATTTTCCGACTCATTCGAGCCACGACTCCAGATGAAAATTTTGCACGGTGAGAATATAATATCGTGATCTCCGGCTTGCTAATGCACTTTTTTTACAGGCGTCTATGATATGCCTTCTGGTATTAGTCGTGGGGCTGAGCATGTTCTCAAAGGCTGTTTGGAGCGTGACGTCCGCACCCGGTGGACGATCGCGACAGTGGATGAGATGGCTTGGGGTGTTGGGCTTGACGATGATGACGACGATGACGACGACACATCTCCTGTAACAGACAAGGATAAATTTAAGTTAGTAGATTATCCCAGCCGCCGATCTCCCTCATTATCCCAGTCGCGCTCGCGCCCTTGCGCACGGCGTGATAACAAGCCGAACCCACCTCACACCGAAGAAGCACCCCCAAGGCTGTCCAACCGTTCCCTCTCCCGTGCCTCTGTTTCAACTGCGAGTTCGCTCTCAACACGATGTACAAGTCGCAGTATCTCCCGCCCACCAGTCGTTCGTTATCCAATGTCTCCCACATACAATGAACTCAGTCATTCAGTGGTGAGCGCCTCGACGTCTCTCTCTGTGCCGCCTCTTGACATCGGTGGCCCTGCTCTTCTTGCCTCGCCAGGGCCATCACCTGAGCGTGGCCGGAGACCGAAGAAGGCGGGATTTTTACCCCCGGCTCGGTGTACATCATCATTAGCGACGTCTTCCCGCCAATCAGAATATGCTCCAGAATCTGGAGATCTGGACGCTGATGTAGACGTGTTGGGCGATACTGCTCACTGGACGTCTACTCTAGGCATCAACGCTGCAACAGGACCTAATGCCCGCCGTAGTGGTATGACCACTGCGATCGAGCGTCTGAAAGCTATCCAGGACGCACTGCCGCCGCAAGAGCACAAAAGGGCCGAGAGCACACCTCCAGCGTCAGGTGCTTGGCTACGGAGATCGCGGCTTCGTATCAAGGAAGATCCTTCTTCCTATCGCGCAGCCGAAGTTCACGGAGCGGGCGGATTTCTTAGAGACTCCAGCACCACTCCCATCCCAATCACGCCCAAAGGCGGTACCCGAAGCCGGAGCGTAGGGCATGACACCCGTCACGCCTATGGCCGCACTCGCTAGTTGTATCACCACTCTTATATTCCCCCAAAATTGCAATCTATCTTCTGGGAACCATCAGATTTGTGAGTTGCTGAAACAATTGCTATTTATCTTGCTTTTTTGTCTGGATTTGGGCTCATAGTTGTATTTTGTATTCAATCCTGAGGACTTCCAGTACATACGATTTCCTTGTCTGTTTCTTTTTCCCGGTATGTCGTTGATTTTAGAGCAATTGGTGTTTGAGATACTCTTGATGGCAAAATTTATATTACGCATTACTTACCAGATTGTACTACTTGTCTTATCCTCAGGAAATCTCGAACCTCATTCACAATACCTGTCTGTGTGGAACAAATGTGCGATATGACTAGCAATAACACACAGATAAAGAGCATAGTGGCTAAGTAGTGAGTTCCATCGGGGCATGACCGCTAGCTGTAACTATCACGTCGTCCGCTGCTACTTTCTGAGCCTGACGCTCAGCAGCCTTGGCCTGAAGTGCCCTTACATCGTCTTGCAATTTGGCCTGAAGAGGAATTTAGCTGAACCCAAATCAGTGATACCCGGACGCACTATTTTAGCCTCTAGTTCTGCTTTGTCAAACCCCTCATATATTCTTTTTGATGACAAAGGTTTTTTGCTGTCTAATGAGTGATGTACCTGAGAATGATCTGACGGAGATAGTAAGTGGCGTTCCTACCGAAAGCTGCACGCCTGAAGACTTCTTCCATTAACTCGTGGTTTCTCCGATATCTCGCAATTGCTAGCGTCCGTGTCGATAGCATTTCAGATTCATCTGCACAAATGATCAATGCGAATAACGTTCATCTGAGCGAATAAAGTAACCGAACCTGCGGATTCGTCATCATCTAGCCGTGGAGGACCAGGCCGCTGCTGAACCAATAACCAACACATCAGATAAATGTTTCTCCGATAATAGGATATACTCACGCCCACCCCTACTCCCCCACTCCCATCTCTCGTCCGTTCACGCTCCCTCCTCCTTTCCAGGGCCTCCATGTTACTGTTCTGCTGCGTTATCATCGCCTGCGGGTTCATTCCAACTTGGGGCATACCGCCTTGATGCGGACCTGCGGGGTGTGGGAAGACTTTGTGACCTGCCCTATCGCCCATGACATATATAGGAGGGTCGGTGATTTGTCGTAGTGGGTAGTGCCTGACGGGATTGTTCAAAAGAGATGGGACGATCTCTGGAGTGCGGGAGATGTATACGTGGATGCAGATGTAAGGGTGAATGTGGATGTGGGTGTAGATGCGGTGGAGTTGCAGACATATCGGACAACGTCGATGGGTGGTGAGAAGGCAAAAATGATGGTATGGTGATTGTGGGACTTACGGATGGGTGGTACGCGGGAGTAGTGGACTAGCACTAGTTGGGGATGGCCGCCTTTGTGAAGGCGGTAGCGTCGGCGCATACGCCATGCTGCTGTGTCTTGGGAGTTGGGTATGAAGCCGTATTTGACTTCTGCGACTTCGAGTTCCTAGAGAAAGGTTAAACTAATTTATGCATTACATAAAGGGGCTGATACGCACCCGTGTACCACGTTGGACAGGCATAGTGTATCGATTTTCTTGGTCTTGCCATCGGATACCGTCGTTCAGAGGTTGAGCAGGATTTGGCATGAACAAGAGGTATATTTGACCCTCTGCATGCATCGCAGAAGCAATCAAACGTTAGTCAAAGACTGAGGTCTTTGGTACTATTCATACCTTGTGGCTTATCGATAAAAGTCCATGTGTAGGGTTGGTTTTGAGAGGTTTGGATGGCACGGAATAGCATGTTGGCTGCATTTTCTAGGGAGACGTTTGGATGATGACCAAAGTCTTCTGGATATTTGAGTATGGGAGTCTCTTGTTGTATTTGCTGAAAGGCCATTCTGGTCACGGTTTACTAAGTTGAGCTGTTTCTTGCCGAGGCGTTGTTTGGTTTGAAAGCTGTTGGCAAACAAACGGTCACGTGTGGGCCAGGTGAAATTGACGCGGCCCTGCCGCGCCTGCCGCGGTCGTGACGCGCCTGTGACGCGGCACTGACGCGGCATATGTGACGCGGCACTGTAACAAATTCCTATGTACAGATCATGTTTACACAACTTCATATCGTATTCCAAACACTTTGAATCATTGTTAATGATCAACATATGAGTGTCTGCCTGCGTACAGGCTCTATAGTGCTGTATTCACCTCTCACCAAATTTACAGTGCTTGTCCTCTGCGTTCATACTACTAGTATGCATCTTGCGCGTCAGTCCTATATTGTTGCATTACCTCTAATTCGTTCATCTATGTTGGTTTTCAGATGCAGTGTCAAATGTTGTCTCACTGCGTCAAGCTTCGACCTCACCCTGCTAAGTTTGATCCACTCTCTATACCCTGCACCAACACGTCGAGCCCCAACCATGGCATGTCAGAAGCCTCGTTTAGGCTGCGTCAAGCACTACTCACACCACGACAAGTTCTCCCAAATATCTTCGCAGTCTCTGTACTAATATCAACATCTACACTCTATGCCGCGTCAAGGCCTACATCAGGTAACCGACTCGACTACGATAATTTCTTAGCAAGCTTTAACTGATCTAAAATTTGCACAATATTCATCATAATTGTACCCCATATGAGAAAGCTTTATATACCCGGACTTACTTGAATGGAACCCACCAAATCCACAGTCGTGACAGTCTAGTCACAATGGCCTGTCAGCTTGCCACCAAGATTGTACATATTGCAACACCTACCTGCCGTGACAATGAAAGGTTCAGTTGTTACGAGCGACCACTGTCACCTAGTTGATGACCAGCAGCAATACATCACATTTATGCCCTGCCCTGATCATGCCATGCAATCTTTGATTGTTTTTATTTCCTGTGAAATCTCTGAACAGATGTCAGTGACGGTTAAAATTTTATATGGCCGGACTATATTGGACCAACACTGCCTACAACCCAAGAGTGTCGAGTTTCTACAATGAATCACTAAGCCATGTCAGTCCGGTTGCCTTATGCAAGGGAGCTTGCCATTGCACTGTCGACAAGAATTTACTTGGTGCTCACGTTAGGTATGACATTGTGATGCTGGCCTGCGTTGCTCATATCTGCGAAGTACATAATTCAGGCTACAAGCGGCGGTGCGCTATCGAACCAGCCAATGTTGATAGCATATGATAGCCGTACACAAATTCAGTTGTTTTTTTCGTGCTCTGCATTCTCTGTCTAGCTGCTGGAAGCTTCCAAGGCCAGACTGTTTTGGATGGGGGCTGCCTTCAGTCCCAAGGTGCGGAGGTATGACAATGTGGTGCCCTCCGTCAGCGATTACTTAGTTATGGCCATCATATGTAAAATGAACGAACCAAGACAAAATTTGCAAACACTCCCTGAACGACAGAATCTTCGAAAGCTTGGCTGCATCATGTCAAGGGTGCCATGGCGCTGGTACTGGCAATTCAGTCCCTTCTATCACCATGCAGGCAAACTATAGTGATCCCATGCAATCTTAGCTTGTTATTTCCATCCAGCCAAGTGCAAGCATAATGTTTGACCGCTGCAAAACACGACATTATTATAAACAGCTACTATTTCATAGCGTGTTAGAACAGGTTGTCATGAGGTCGCATGTATATTGATTATGAACAGACGATACTATAATTAAAACTACGAATGAATGTTATCCAAAACTGCAGCTCGTTTGAGGGCAATGCGCCTTTGTCGGATCTTGGATAAGGCGCTGTTGGCGCTGATAGGTCTTCTGGCAGCAGAGGAAGCAGGAAAAATTTGACTATGGAACATATCAGCCTTCGTGACATGATGAAAGTGAAAGGTGACAAACATACCGATTCCACCAGGTCAGCAGCTCGTCAACTTCCTGGGATTCCTCAGGGTCTTCTAAGAGGTCTAGAAGGCTATGGTAAAACGTCTCGGAGTCTGTGGTTGTGTCGGTCCGCGAGAACACTGAGGATGAGCTGAGAGCGAATCGCACCTTCAGCGGTATGTTAAAGTGGTTCCGCTGCAGAAGCATGATGCTTGATGAACCTGAGTGGCAATATAGGCTATGGAGGCTATGGTGACAGAGTTCATTCCGTGGAGGCGAGCATTCCCGGATCACGTGGCCTTCGGCTCCTTGTCAACCGAACTCGGAGACGTGAAGACATGCTTATAGGCCTGGTGCAATACCATGTAGTAAATAGATTATGTGAAAAAAAC